GAGCACGGCATCCGCCAGACGTTCACGCTTCAGGCCTCTCCGCAGCAGAATGGGGTTGCTGAGCGCCGCATTGGCTTAGTCATGGAGGTCGCTCGTACCTCCATGATCCATACGGCTGCCCCCCAATTTCTGTGGCCGTTTGCGGTCCGGTACGTCGCGCATCAGCTCAACCTCTGGCCCCGTGTCTCCTTGCCGGAGACCTCGCCCACACTGCTGTGGACGGGGAAGGTTGGCGATGCGTCGCGTTTCCGGGTCTGGGGCGCTCGTGCCTTTGTCCGCGATACCACCGCGGACAAGCTCTCCCCTCGCGCCAGTCCCTGCGTCTTCCTTGGCTTTGTCCCTGACGCGCCTGGCTGGCAGTTTTACATCCCCGCCTCGCGCCGTGTCTTTCCGTCTCAGGACGTCACCTTTGACGAGTCAGTTCCCTTTTACCGTCTCCTTCCCTACCGCACTGCCCCTCGCCCCCCCCGCCACTCTTTCTCGCCCCAGGTCCTCCCCAGGTAGACCCCTTCCCTGCGCCAGGTCTTGCTCCTTCAGGTGTCTCTCAGGTAGACCCTCCCGTGCCTGCGCCTGTTGAGGTCACTGGTGACTCAGGTCCTACTGGGGGTGGTGTTGTCCCTGGGGGTGCGGAGTTTGGGGGTGCGGAGCATGGGGGTGCTCAGCCTGGGGGTGCGGAGCCTGAGCGTGAGGACCCAGGGGGTGCTGAGCCTGAGCGTGAGGAGCCTGAGGGTGCGGAGTCTGGAGGTGCTGAGCCTGCGCGTGAGGAGCCTGGAGGTCCTGAGTCTGGGGGTGCTGCGTCTGGGGGTGCTGAGCCTGCGCGTGAGGAGCCTGGGGGTACTGAGTCTGGGGGTGCGACGCCTGAGGGCTCTGAGACTGCTGTTCCGCGGTCTCCTTGGAGTAGCCGCCTTCGTCCGCGTGTGCCTCTTACCTCCCAGCAGCTGCACGACTGGTACGGTCGCCGTCAGGGTCGCGCTTCTGGAGCTCGGGGCTCTGCTGATGGAGGTACTTCTGCTGACGTCACTGGAGCTGGGAGTGGTGCTGGTCCTTTGTCTACTGGAGGTGCTGGAGTCGCTGGTCCCGAAGGTGCTCGTGCTGGAGGTACTGGAGCTGCTGGGGCTGGAGGTGCTGTGTCTGAGGGTGCTACTACTGGAGACCCTGGGTCTGGGGATGCTGCTGCTGGAGGCACTGAGGCTGGAGACCCTGGGACTGGAGGTGCCGGTTCTGGGGGTGCTACAGCTGGTGGAGCTGGTGAGGAGCTGGCGCTGAGGGTACTTGAGTTGTTGGAGGTGTTGGAGCTGGCGCTGAGGGTTCTGGAGCTGCTAGAGGTGCTGGAGCTGCTGAGGGTTCTGGAGCTGCTGGAGGTGCTGGAGCTGCTGGTGCTGGTGGCACTACACAGTCGCGCCTGTTCTTCGCTCAGCCGTCTCCGTCGTCTCAGCCACCCCCTGACTCTGTGCTTCGCCAGGTTCTTAGTCTCCCTTCATCTACTGGTCTTCCGTTACAGCCTGGCTCACCGCTGCCTGCTCCTTCTCCTTACACTGAGCAGACAGGGGGCCTTGCTGAGCGTCGTGCGCCTGCGTCGCGTCCTGTCTCGCCTGTCTGTTTTGGTCGTTCTGGTCATCGTGTTCCTCGTCCGCGTCAGCCGGCTGTCCCCGGCACCCGCCTTGCAGTCCGTCATCCTTCCTCTCCTCCGCAACGTGTTCCTATGCCGTCTCCCCCTGCGTCCTCTCTGCCAAACGTTGCGGACCCTGAGTCTGACCAGTTTCGTACTGAGCACCCTACTGTCACGCGTTTGTTAGCCACTGTTGTCACTGACCCGTCGTTTGAGTCCACTGCTGCGTCTGCCCTAGTCACTGAGCTTGTCGACTTTGCTGCTGCCTGTCGTCTAGACTACGCTGCCAGTCTTGTTGCTGAGTCTGAGTCTGTCTGTCCTCCGTCCGTCGGGGGTGAGTGTGCTCTCAGCACGGACGTCCTTGAGGACAGGCACGAGGACCTTGAGTGTCTTGCGGCCGCTGCGCCTCATCTCGTGGCCATGCTGCTTGCCCCTGAGGGAGACCCGGATGCTCCAGACATCCCGACCCCGCGCTCTTACGCTGAGGCGATCGCGGGTGAGTACTCCTCTCAGTGGCAGACAGCTATGGACGCAGAGATGGCATCCTGGAAGTCCACAGGCACGTACGTCGACGAGGTTCCCCCTCCTGTGGCGAACATCGTCAGTGGCATGTGGATTTTCAGGGTGAAGCGGCCGCCAGGTTCTCCGCCTGTCTTCAAGGCTCGTTACGTTGCTCGAGGATTCAGTCAGCGAGAGGGAGTAGACTTCTTCCGGACCTTCTCCCCCACCCCGAAGATGACCACTCTTCGGGTGCTGCTGCACGTTGCCGCTGAGCGTGACTACGAGCTTCACTCTCTTGAATTCAGCACAGCTTTCTTACAGGGCAGCCTGCACGAGGAGATCTGGCTGCGCCGCTCGCCTGGCTTCACTGGGCCGTTCCCTCCTGGTACCCAGTGGAGCCTCCGGCGGCCGGTCTACGGTCTCCGCCAGGCGCCACGCGAGTGGCACGACACACTGAGGACGACACTTGCGGCTCTTGGGTTTGCTCCGTCGACTGCTGACCCGTCGCTGTTTCTGCGCACCGACACTTCGCTGCTGCCGTTCTACATCCTCGTGTACGTCGACGACTTGGTCTTTGCCACTGCTGACACTGAGGCTCTCGCCCTGGTGAAGTCGGAGCTGCAGAAGAGACACTCGTGCACAGATCTGGGTGAGCTGCGCAGTTACCTTGGCTTGTAGATCACCCGGGACATAGCACGCCGCACCATCACCCTGACTCAGTCACACATGGTGCAGCAGGTCCTTCAGCGCTTCGGCTTCTCCTGGTCCTCGGCACAGGCCACTCTTCTGGCTACAGGTCACTCGCTCTCAGCTCCACCTTCGGACGAGTCCGTAGAGCCGAGTGGTCCTTACCCAGAGCTAGTTGGCTGCCTCATGTAATTGATAACCTGCACCCGTCCTGACCTCGCGTACCCTCTTGGCCTTCTGGCTCGCTACGTGGCTCCTGGTCGGCACCGAAAGGTGCACATGGATGTTGCTAAGAGGGTACTACGCTACTTGTGCGGTACATCGGGCATGGGGCTCGTGCTTGGAGGACGGGGCGACGTTGTCCTCACTGGTCACTCGGACGCTTCTTGGGTTGACGACCAGGCTACGCAGCGGTCGTCACAGGGTTACACCTTCAGCCTTGGCTCTGGTTCAGTTTCTTGGCGTTCTACACGCTCGTCATCAGTTTTCAGCTCCAGTTGTGAGGCTGAGATCTACGCCACAGCCATGGCTGCGCAGGAGTTACGCTGGCTCACCTACCTGCTGACCGACCTGGGAGAGCGGCCTCGTTCTCCTCCAGTGTTGTACGTCGACAACAAGGCCGCCATTGCCTTGTATCAGGAGCACAGACTGGAGCACAGAACGAAGCACATTGCTCTGCGCTACTTCCTGGCTCGAGAGTTGCAGCAGCGTGGTCAGCTTCGTCTTGCTCATGTGGCCACTCGGGCCAACATTGCTGATATATTCACCAAGGCACTTCCGTCTGGTGATCATCAGCGTTTCTGCACTTTGTTAGGCCTTGTGCCCACGTTTTCTCATTTGCTGTAGACTTTGCTTGTACTGTGATCTATATATGTATACCTGCATGCTTGCTCTGCTAGGTAGAGATCACTGTGCTGCCGTTGTTGCATATATACCTCTGCATGTGAACTGGCCTTGTGGCCCTTTGCTTGTGCTCAGTGTGTGTGGTGACGTTGTGATCCACCCTGAGCTGTGTTTTGTTTCTTCTCTTGACTGGTCTTGTGACCATTGCTTGCTCTGGCTATCCCCCATTTCGCCTATGGGGGTGTGTCAAAACATATGAATGTTGTTATCTAGGCTATAATTGGGGCTAGCCTTAGGGGGTACATAAATTTTCTCGACACTCTAGTTTTGTACCCCAACCTTGACCTAATGTCCAATGCTTTTCATGCCTAAGTTCTAAGAGAAACGAGGTCTATCATAACACCCACCCCGCACAAGCTACCCGGGGGTGTACAATTATGGGGGGGTGTTTTGTCCAGGAGAATACGGTACACTGCAAACCTGAGCCCTGGTCCTAACGAGTAAGGCGGGTCTGGGGCTGGAATGAGGTTGGAGTGTAGCTGTTCTAAGGTATGGCTGCCGCTGGTGCTGATCGGACTAGGCAGTTTCTATCGACCAGAATTACAAGTTTCCAGTTTGGTGTGCACACCAACGCCAGAGTGGTTGCGCAGGAACCGAGCGACACTTCCCTTCGCTGCCTGCGACTTCATTACGTTTTGCAGGTGAACAACTGGTAACCACCCTGGTTCGGGAGGGAAGATGTTAACACCTCCCAACTTTTTTTGTACGGTAAGGCCAACTTAGGAAAATCTTACACATTGCACGAATGTACTTAAAGCTTATCACTACATCCCAACAATTGCCCTAATTTGAAATTTGCTCATCCAGCGGAAGCACCGAGGTGAGTGCAAAAGCCGCCGAAAATGGCTACTCCAATGGTTGTAAATCACGAAAGGACAAACCATACATTCCTCACTGGCACAGTGTGGAGGTTGTGGTGGTGGGCTGTGCAGAGTGCAGATGGTAAGCGAAACAACGAGGTTAAGTGAGGGTGGTCGGTGAGGGGTGAAGGGGTGCAATTGTGCATGGGATGGTGGTAGGGTTGGTAAGAATGGTGGTAGAGTTGTTGGGAGGATTTGGCGATACCCAGCTCGTATTATGGGGATGCGCAGTTGTATGATTGCTACAGCATGGCAGCAAAAGTATAGGTGTATGATGCTGCGACACAGTCGCACGACAGAGTGAGAGGTGATATTCACATGAGGAGGTGACGGCTTGACCAGTGATGCGATGATGAAGGATGGATTTGTGGTACAGCAGAGACTTGCATGAAGCTGGCCGGGGACAGCAGCAGGAGAGAGAGCATGGCCATTTGATGGCATCAGCCAGGAGATGTGATGGTATGGGGCAGAGCATGTGATGGTATGGAGCAGAGGATGTGATGGTATGGGGCAGAGCATGTGATGGTATGGAGCAGAGGATGTGATGGTATGGGGCAGAGCATGTGATGGTATGGAGCAGAGGATGTGATGGTATGGGGCAGAGCATGTGATGGTATGGAGCAGAGGATGTGATGGTATGGGGCAGAGCATGTGATGGTATGGAGCAGAGGATGTGATGGTATGGGGCAGAGCATGTGATGGTATGGAGCAGAGGATGTGATGGTATGGGGCAGAGCATGTGATGGTATGGAGCAGAGGATGTGATGGTATGGGGCAGAGCATGTGATGGTATGGAGCAGAGGATGTGATGGTATGGGGCAGAGCATGTGATGGTATGGAGCAGAGGATGTGATGGTATGGGGCAGAGCATGTGATGGTATGGAGCAGAGGATGTGATGGTATGGGGCAGAGCATGTGATGGTATGGAGCAGAGGATGTGATGGTATGGGGCAGAGCATGTGATGGTATGGAGCAGAGGATGTGATGGTATGGGGCAGAGCATGTGATGGTATGGAGCAGAGGATGTGATGGTATGGGGCAGAGCATGTGATGGTATGGAGCAGAGGATGTGATGGTATGGGGCAGAGCATGTGATGGTATGGAGCAGAGGATGTGATGGTATGGGGCAGAGCATGTGATGGTATGGAGCAGAGGATGTGATGGTATGGGGCAGAGCATGTGATGGTATGGAGCAGAGGATGTGATGGTATGGGGCAGAGCATGTGATGGTATGGAGCAGAGGATGTGATGGTATGGGGCAGAGCATGTGATGGTATGGAGCAGAGGATGTGATGGTATGGGGCAGAGCATGTGATGGTATGGAGCAGAGGATGTGATGGTATGGGGCAGAGCATGTGATGGTATGGAGCAGAGGATGTGATGGTATGGGGCAGAGCATGTGATGGTATGGAGCAGAGGATGTGATGGTATGGGGCAGAGCATGTGATGGTATGGAGCAGAGGATGTGATGGTATGGGGCAGAGCATGTGATGGTATGGAGCAGAGGATGTGATGGTATGGGGCAGAGCATGTGATGGTATGGAGCAGAGGATGTGATGGTATGGGGCAGAGCATGTGATGGTATGGAGCAGAGGATGTGATGGTATGGGGCAGAGCATGTGATGGTATGGAGCAGAGGATGTGATGGTATGGGGCAGAGCATGTGATGGTATGGAGCAGAGGATGTGATGGTATGGAGCAGAGGATGTGATGGTATGGAGCAGAGGATGTGATGGTATGGAGCAGAGGATGTGATGGGGTTGGGACCGCATGTGATGATACGGGGCAGCGCATGTGATGGCGCCAGTCAGGCAAGGCATACGATGACTGGAATGGACACAAAAAATATCGTCCGGCAAACCGCTTATCGACCCTCGAAAACGTGTCTTGGTTGGTGGTTGGTTGGTGGCTGATGATGGTTGGTAGTTGCTCGTGGCTGATGGCATCAACGCATGGCGCGCAGCAGGTGTGCCACGGCGCAGCGGCGGATTCCGCGGCCCAGTGGAACGGTCAGAAGAGCGGGCAGCCCAGGGCGACCCTGGCGGCGCCGAGGAGGAGCGACAAGGTGGAGAGCGACCGCAGGCGCTGCGACACGCGGAACACCGTCGACAGGAACCACCCAAACCGCCATCGCCGCTTCTTCGCGCCCGCCTGTGATGGTGAGGCGGCTACCACGGCCTTGCTGCCAGCGGCGTCACCGGAAGTCGCTGCTCTGCACACCGAGCACCAGCGCGCAGCGGCGGCCACTTCTTTTTCGTCCACGCCGTCTTTCCCATTCACGCTGGAACGCGCATCCGCGCATCTTGAAAGCCCGGCAGCGCGCGAGAAGCTCATGCTGCGCGCACACAGCTGCAGAGGCGGCGTGGCGCGCTGACTAGTGCCAGGCGTGTCTGCTTCCCGGGCGACGGACGACGAGTTGGCAGCAGCGTCGGCGGCACGGTGGCACTCCATGATGGGCAGGAACGGAGCGACGCGCCCCTCCAGTGACACCAGATCCGATCGGGTCCGCCGTAGCCGATTCAACCCCTTGCTCTTGACCTGCTCGAACCCCTCCAGACTCGAAAGCACCGCCTGCCCCACTGTCGCTGATGATGTCGCTGCCGACGCCACCGTTCCCTGGCAAGCAGCCGGAGCGGACGGTACAGGAACCGCCGCGTTGCCCGCAGCGAGGTGCGCGAGCATTCGCGATCGGATTCCTTTGGTGACGCCGGTCTGGTAGGTGGAGAGCAGGTGGTGGTTGAAGACGTCGAAGTGGATCTCCAGCGCAAAGCTCGCCTCGCGCACGCAGCTGCTCAGGTCCTCCGCCTGCGCCAGGTGCACGGCGCCCTCCGTGGCCTCCGCCATGGGGTCCAGCAGCAGGAAGTTGCCCGCGAACGCGTACTGCTGCGGCGTGCGCGCCGGCCACAGCAACTGACACGCCCCCGACAGCACAAGCCTGAGGGGGCCCGGCAGCAACGACTCTGCGGCCTGCAAGGCGGACGCGAAGGGGATCTTGGTGGCCCGCTGGAGCAGACCCAGCGCGAATCGGGCGAGGCGCAACGCCTCCATGGGCTCGGTGGCGCCCCCCCCACCCGCGACGCGTTGAAGGAGCGCGACGAGCGGAACGAGTCGGGGCACGACGTCGTTCTTGGAGACGACGTGGCTGTACACGTCGCGGTACTTGTCGTTGATCAGCTCCGCCAGGCTGGGGCTCGCGAACAGCGGCGCGCCGAACGTGACGCACTGCACCTGGCCTTTGTGCGTGCAGAGACCGCGCGACTCCGCTGCTTCCAGCAGGCGCAGAGCCAGCAACGCGGAAACGGCGCCGCCCAAAGAGTGACCCGTGAAGACGAGGCGATGCCCGTCTGCCAGCAGTCGAAGCAACGGCTCCACGCAGACGCTCTCAGCCCGCTCCACGAATCCCATGTGCGCCGTGCCACACCCGACCCCACGAATGCCTCGGGGGAAGATCTTGAGATCCTGCAGGATATCCCAGGCATCCGCTGTTCCTCTGCACGCCACTACCACGTGCCCGTGCGTGCTGCGACCCACCAGTATAGGCTGCTGCGCCTGGCTGCCACCTGGAAAATCAGGTAGGTGCAGCAAATCCAGAGCACCCACGGGGAGATCGTACTTCGATTTAAGGACCGAAAGGACCTTCTCGGGCGAGGATTCGTAGACTGCGAGCGAAAACACAAGCGCGTCAATCATCTGCTCCCGGAAACCCGATCGGGCCAGACAATCCACCCGGCGAACCATGGCGGAACTATAATGTGATGATCGCTGCGCGAGAATTGGACTAAAGAAAAGCGGCAAGCAGTTTCTAAGGTGCAAGACCAGCGATCCCAAAGGACGTCTCGGCGAGCCGAGCACTGTCAACGACCATACCAGGTCGCAGGAAAGGCGACGCAGACTCGGGGCTTGCTGCGTCTGTAAGATCAGCTAGGTGATGCCACTGGAATGCCCTAGTAAAGGAGACCAAGTGAATTTGATGGGGGGTGGGTGAGATCTCAATTGCTAGTGGAGGGGCAAGAAAGAGCCGATGGTTCGCGTGGATTCAGGATTCCTCTGCCCGAAGACGACAGCGGCAGGGTAACCACATCCGACAGAAAGGCGGGAGAAAAGAGGTTTCCTTCATGAAAAAACTTGTATCTCGAGCCGTCCGTCCATCCGCGTTTGACGCAACTTCATGGGCCGATCCAGGCTCGGCACCTGTCGGAGGATAGTTTGGCTCAACCGCGCACCACGTGTCGGAGTCAGCCATGAACCTATGTTGCCTGTCAGACGATAATTGGGCATCGACCACCCATTCAGAAAACAACCGAATCCTAGCGCGCCAAACATCTGTGCTCTCTGCAACAGACGGTGGAACAAGAAAATAAAAATGATACATATATACATATGCTTACATTCACTTCATGAAAAGTGGATGACTACTATAACAACCCCCCTTCCCTTCGTCGCTGAATGTACCCTTGCTGTGGAAAATGATTGATTTAGATTCTGTTACGATATGAAGTTTTATGAGAAGGCATTCCTGTATGCTGCAGGAGCCGACTCTGTCGAAATATATTTCATATCTTTTATAACTGCTTGCAGTTGTAGTGTAGTTATTATGTTTTGTAGGTGGTGCACCTTCTTTCCTTGCATGTTCTTTCCTATTTGTACCCTTGCTCAATATTGAATCATCATCTTTGGCCAAACTTCCTTCGCTCCTACCCTCGTTACTCTCGCTCCTACCTTAGCTATGGCTCATAAGTTCTGAGCCTATGCTAGCTGTTTTAACATGGTTTCAGAGCAACTAAGCTCCTTGAACTACTTTTTCATGGGCCCACCACTAGCCATGGCGCTCCCCAACGCGTTTCACGTCGCCGCACCCGTCGCACCCGTCGAGGCGCTCGTCAAGGCGCTCAGCCTAACGGCCGCGACGACCGCAAGGCGAGCCCCGTACGGCGCCCCGCTTCCCGTCGTCCTGCTGCCCTGCTCCCCGCCACGCTTCCCACAGCCGCGGGCGCCCTGCTTCTCGTCGCCGCGGGCGCCCTGCTTCCCGTCGTCACGGGCGCCCTGCTTCCCGTCGCCGCGGTGCCCTGCTTTCTGTCGCCGCGGCGCCCCGCGTCCCGTCGCGCTCGGTGCCCTGGTTCCCGTCGCCGCGGCGTCTGCTGTGGGAGGAGGTGGCGAGGGGAAAAGGGAAGGGGGGGGCGTGGGTGGTTGACGCAGGTCCGCGCGCTGCTGCGTCACACCGCTATTCCGATGCTCGCCTTCCCCTCCCTCTCCTTGTTGCGCGTGCAGCAGTGGGGGGGTTGGGGGTTTGGGGGTGGCGGGTGTGAGCAACCTGCTGCCGCCCCTCCTCCTCTCTCTCTCACTGCCACACGTGCCGCTGTGGGGGGAGGGTGAGGGGGTGGCGGAAGGGTGCGGTTCCGGGTGGCGGCTGAACAAAGGGGGTGAGGTTTAAGGGGGTGGCTGAAAGGGGGTGTGGTTTAGGGGTGTGGCTGAAAGGGGGTGTGGACTTGGGGGTTCGTAAGAGGGGTTCGCCGCGTGGCTGCCCCCACCTCCTCTCCTCATCCCCCTCTCACCGCCCTTTTGTAAAATGGGGGTTCGTAAGAGGGGCTCGCCGCGTGGCTCCCCCCACCTCCTCTCCTCATCCCCCTCTCACCCCCCCCCCCCCCCCCCCCTTGGTAAAACGGGGGTTCGTAAGAGGGGCTCGCCACGTGGCTCCCCCCACCTCCTCTCCTCATCCCTCATTCACCTCCTCCTCGGTACTTCACTCCTTCTTCCGCTGCGCACTCTGCATGGTGTACCCCTTCAGGGGGCGTAACTACACTTCTTCCTACAAGCAATTATGGGGGCGTGTCGAAATATATTTCATATCTTTTATAACTGCTTGCAGTCGTAGTGTAGTTATTATGTTTTGTAGGTGGTGCACCTTCTTTCCTTGCATGTTCTTTCCTATTCGTACCCTTGCTCAATATTGAATCATCGTCTTTGGCCAAACTTCCTTCGCTCCTACCCTCGTTACTCTCGCTCCTACCTTAGCTATGGCTCCTAAGTTCTGAGCCTATGCTAGCTGTTTTAACAGACTCTACCGAGTACGAAGTCGAGGAGTCAGAAGAGTCGAAGCGACGCAGCAACCGTCTGACCAAGACCGATGCAGGCAGAAACATTTGAAGTGAAAAGAGCGGGAACAGGTTCAAAACGGGTTCCCGCGCCGCACGGTATGAATTTGCTGTAATAAGGGAATGTACCCCTTAGAGTACATGGCTAGTCTAGGTCTTTTCGTATTCCCTTGTATTCTTATAGAAACTCGATGTATGCATGCTATTATCAACTCAGTCATTTACATTCACTCTGACCTGAGATTCAAACTTCCGCTGCAACACTACTCTGCGATCAACCCTGAGCGATCCTTTGCTAAGTCCCACTTGGGATTGTAACATGGTATGAGAGCTACTCAGGGATTCTTCGCAACGTCACTTCCGTGACATTCGCCCAACCTAGATCTTGCGAGCGGCACACGCTCCAAGACCAAGATGGCCGGAGGATCCGGAGGCCAAGCAAATCTGACGGCCGAAGGACAAACCAACCCGGCTGCGACAAATGAGGCGACAACCACGATCGGCACTGCCGCACTCGAGCAGTTATTCGCTCGACTTTCAACCATGGAGAAAGAACTCCAAGACTTGCGCAAAGGTGATGCGGGAACCTCTTCCCAACCAGCTCAACCTGGACAACCGGCCACGAAAAGCCGAGATACCGCCGCGCACACCTTCTCCCTCGACACAGACAAATCAACAACAACTTCCCCCCCGTCCAAGTGATGAAGTCATTAACTCTGCGCAAGCACGCTTTCTTAGCGTTTCAAAAATCAAGACTACTGCCGCATTCGACGGCAAGGACTTCTACACATGGAGTTTTGAGCTTGAGCTCCTCCTACAGACAGCGCAGATCTACCATTACTTCGATGGCTCCTACTCCAAACCGGTGGAAAACACCGAAGAAGCCAGGGCTCAGTACTACAGCGAGTCTCTCATGGCCTATACCGTGCTGCTACGCAACATGACACCTGCAGAGCAACTAAGCATCCGCTCCTACAAAGAGAGCACCGCTCCAGCCTTGGAAGCCTGGAAGCACCTCATTGAGGTATATCAGCCGAAGGATTCGGTCACCGCTAGCAGGCTCCTGCAGCAACTCATGGAGACAAAGATGGGGCACGGGGAGAAAGCGAACTCTTACATTAACCGCTGTCGCAATATCCGTGACCAGATCACGAAGCATGGGAGCGCAATCTCGGAAGAGATCTTCGTTAACATAGTCCTTCAAGGACTCGGGCCAGAGTGGAAGCCCTGCAAAGCGCTACTTCGACAGCGAGGAATCGTATCTGAAGCCGCGCCATGCGCCGCACTCCTGACTAAACAGCAGGACATGGACTCGAGCAGAACAAGCTCCGTGCCGCACCGAGAGTGCCTCGCCTTCTACGCAGACAACCGTGAAGAGCGACGACAACCAAGGCGCCATTATTGCAAAATATGCAAAGTCTTCGGACATTCAACGGATCGATGTAATTCCCGATCCAACTTTCGCCACCCGAATTCCACTCACCACAACAACTGGGTCGGCCGACAAGACGCTCGTCATTCTCAGCCTCAACATCAGCCAGCTCGTCCCCCTGCACAGCATCAACACCAGCAAAGTCAAGGACCTCAATCAGGAGCTCCCAGGAACATTATCGCAAACATGGCGACGCGCCGCCGCCGCACTACTGAACCTGACGAGGAGGACGAAGCTCAAGGAAGACTTCTTGAACCAGAAGAGGGATGGAACAATCCCCTCACTGAGGACCACTATTACGACTACAACGAAGACGAGCAAGATTGGCATCAGCCAATAACTCTGCGGGAAAGTCCGCCACACAACTATCACAGCTACGTACCTGTGGGATGGAAAGAGGACGAAGACCCGTCCTTCCACAGGCGATTCAAGGCAACCACAGTGACGCTGCGACTCGCGCTACTCCTGCGCAGTGCCAACTCCAAGAATCACAACACCTGGTATCTGGACAGCTGATGCGGACAGCACATGGTGGGATCAGTTCGATACATCTCGAACATCAGCCGCGCCCCCGCCACTTACGTTACCGTCGCCAACAACGAGCACCTCCGCGCTAATGCTCAAGGCATTGTGGTCCTGCAAGCACGGGACAGCAACGCGCACATCTCGTTCAATGACGTGCTTTACGTCCCGGATCTTCGCTTCAATCTGCTATCGGCAGGACAGCTCCGCGACTGTGGAGTCATATTGAAAACGGACCTAGCCACACGCGACCTCATCCTCACCTACGGACCCCCGGACACCTCCCCCGAGTCGCACAAATACCTAGGGCGAGCCCGGTCCATCAACGGGATCTACGTCCTGGACTTCGACATCCCGAGCTGTTAAGCCTCATCAGACGAGCTTGTGGACCTCGTTCCGCTTGACTTCCCCTTCATGAACGAGGAATCATGGACGCACCCAGATGGACGCCCGTGGATCCGCCGCAGCCCCCACCCTCACGAAATCAATTTGCACGAGCCCGACATCAACGGACTCTGCACTACCTGCCACACACCCACCGCAAGCCGTACGGAGCAAGTCGGAAGGGATTGCGCGGCAATTCAGGAATCGGAGAGTGCTGAAGCAGATCCAACGGGCATGACTGAAGGAGAACTCGCTGTGTCGTCTTACCGCATCTTTGGCGAACCAAACAAAAGACTCGGACATTAGCGAGTGGAGCGACCAACACCATATACGGGGACACTCCGCTTCATACTAGAAGCCAACACCGTCACCTTTGACGAAGAAAATCGCCCGCACCCATACACTCGCGAAGTTTACCGCCACGAAATCGACTCGACCTGGAAGGATCCTGACGCAAAAGGGGAGCTGAGCGTCAAGGAAGAACGAGACAAGGCCAGGGCAGAAAAGAAGCAGAAGCTGTATGAGGAGCGCGTTGCGGCTGGATGGGACGAAGAGTCTGCACGACGAGGAGCATGGGGAGATGAAGATTACGAACCAGAAGAAGGCGCAACCTGGGGATCCGCCACTGGCACTTCGGGCACAGGAGGATGGGGACCAAGCGGAAGCGGTGTGGTCACCACGGGAGGATGGGGCAACATCGAACCTGACGAAGGTGAACTCACACAAGAAGAACTGGAGGAGGCTGAACGCGAAATGAGAGCCGAACACAGCGAGCAACCTCCCCGCGTCTCGATCCCGCTCGGCCGACCCCCTCGTGTCCTCTCACCCCCTCGCTCACCTTACAGATGGCAAAGCGTCTGGACGGAGATTGAGGAAGGGAATGTCCTGCCAACACCTCCGCGCGACTCACTTGGTCCAATCTTGCGACCAGACCCATACGCCCGCTTCATCGAAGGGACAACAACCCCGCTCAACATCATCCCCGACCGAGAATTCCTGGCGCTTTATCTCACAACGGCACCTGCAGAAGGAGAGACAACAACAGAGACAGAAGCAGAGGAGCCGGACAACGAAGCGGAACCAGGAGAAGAGGAAGAACCCCAACTCCAGATCCCGCATCTTACGGAAGCAGAAGTAGCAGAACACTTCGCTCGCTACAAGCGCACCTCCGGCATTCGCGCCGAAGATGACCTCTGGCACCAGCGGCTGGGCCACCCCTCGCGCCAGACCCTCACTAACTGCCTCCGCGCTAAAGTTTTTCCGCCAGGAGCACTTCTGCGCCCCGACGGAACAGAACCACACAACACCCCTCACCCGATCACTTGCACTGTCTGTCCCACAGCCGCGCTCTCCCACAGCGCCTACCCCTCTCTGGAGCCGAGCACCAACCGCTACAAGAAGCTGGAGAAAGTATACAGCGACTTCATCATGCTCACCTTCGACGGCATCAACGGCGAGAAGTATACCCTCACCTTCATTGACGCCTTCTCACGCCACGTGTGGGTTGCCAACGTCGACGCTCGCTCCAAAGCTCCGGAAGTATTCCGCATCTTCCTCGCGCACGCGCAGCGGCAGTCAGGAAGGAAGCTGAAGATCTAGCAGAGTGACGGGGCCAAGGAATTTCGCAGCAACGAGCTCGAGAGTGTCCTCACCGAGAAAGGGATCAAGCATGAGATCTCCCTCCCCTACGCTCACCAGCAGCAAGGCGTCGCAGAAAGGGTCAATCGCACCCTCATGACCAAGGTGCGCGCCCTTATGAACCAGTCCGGCCTGCCAAAGAAGTTTTGGCCCTACGCCATGAACCACGCGGTGCGCCTGCACAACCTTCTTTCCACCACTGCCAACAGGGACAACTTGTCCCCTCACATGAAGTGGACCGGCTCAAGGGGAGACCCTTCCATGCTGAGGGTTTGGGGGTGCATGGTGCAGTACCGGCCGACCTCGGCCACAATCGGCAAGTTTGCTCATCGCGCACGCTGGGGAGTTCATTTGGGCCTCAGCAATGAGCACAAGGGCTGGCTCATTCTCGATATGGACAGCAAGGAGGTCGTCCCCGCGCGCGACGTTCTTTTCTACGAGCGTCTCACCTTGAAGCAGTGGATCGAGGACGAGTGCCGCAACGAGGCACGTGGTTACGTCAACAGCAGCCGCAACTTTGCGACCCCAGAAGACGCAGCAGCAGCAGCTGTACTGGACCGTGACGACACCGACGAACATCCCAGCATCCCGCCTCGCCCGCGCGACGACGACGATGACGATGACAGTGACAATGACCCCGCGCCAGGACCATCACGGCGCCAAGCAGAGCCAAGCACTGCAACGCCCGGCTACGAAAGCGGAGACGATGACGTGGTGGAAGTCCCCACCAACACAGACACCACCAATGTGTCCGGCCTTCAACTTCTCGGCCTGCACACGTCCGTCACTACCCTCGCTCGGGCCGTGGAGCCAAAGAATCCTCGCCAGGCCCTAACCGGCCCCCACGCCAAGGAGTGGCGTGCAGCAATGGATGCGGAGCTGAAAGCGCTGGAATCTCGAGACACATGGGTCCTAGTCGACCGTGCAGCAGTGAAGGGGAGGAGGGTACTCAGCGGAAAGTGGGTTTTTCGCCTTAAAACCAACGCTGACGGCACTATCGAGCGCTTCAAAGCACGCTGGGTCGTACGTGGGTACGATCAGCGCCACGGCATCGGCTTTGACCAAACCTTTGCTCCCGTCAGTCGTCACACCTCCGTCAGAATTCTACTCGCTATGCCGCCGCTAAGCACCTACCACTGCGACAGATCGACGTGAAGAACGCGTTTCTATACGCGCTGGTGGACGCTACCATCTTCGTGGAGCAGCCTCACACCTACGGAGAAGGGGATCCCAGAGTCTGTCAGCTCAAGAAATCCCTCTACGGGATCAAACAGGCACCTCGTCTCTGGCAGCAGCACCTGCACAAGATTCTTCTTGAGATCGGCTTCAAGCAGCTGCCGCACGACCCGGGAATGTATCGCCTTCACTTCAGTGGCGACTACATCCTCTTGACAATTTACGTCGACGATCTGCTGTATACGGGCACCTACAACAAACTCCTCAATCAGTTTGAGGAGAACCTGGCGCAGCGCGTGGACATCACCATCAATCATGAAGTGAAGCAGTTTTTGGGGCTAAACATCACTTACGCGCCAAAAGCAATTCACCTGTCAGCCTCCAAGTACGCAGAGCAGCTGGGGGAACGCTTCAACATTTCGCCCGCACCACACTCAACTCCCTACCGCAACCCCAGCACCAACTACAAACCTGACAACAAACCGCTATCCCCCGAAGGACTCCAACTGTACCAGCAGCAACTGGGTTGCCTGCTGTTCGCATCTGTCACCTGCCGACCCGACCTCTCGTACATCGCAAACCAACTGGCGCAGTATTCTCGCAAGCCAGTAATTGAGAACCAGCTGGATCTGGAGCGCGCCCTGCAGTACTTCATCTCCACACCTGACATCGGTCTCTCCTACTCCACGCTGACGACGACCTCTTTCAACCTCAACGGCTACGTGGACGCAGATCATGCAGCCGACCCTGCAAATCGACGGTCCCGAACCGGCTTCGTTTTCCGCCTGGAACCCACTGGGCCAATCTCCTGGAACTCGCAGAAGCAGTTGCCCTGTCCTCGGCTGAAGCAGAATACATCGCCGCGACAGCAGCAGTTCGCGAAGGGCTGTACCTGCAGGAGCTGCTGCAGGAGGCGAAAATCCCAATCTCGCCCACCTTTCGCCTTCACTGCGACAACCAGAGTGCCATCAGGATCGCGAACAAGCCAGGTTTCGTGAACCGCACGAAGCACATCGTGCTTCGGTACTTTTTCGTCAAGGACGAAATTGACCAAGGAAAAATTGACCTCGCCTACTGCCCGACTACTGAGATGGCAGCAGACTTCCTCACCAAGCGCCTGCCACGTCAGCAGTACAAGCACTGCTCTGACCTCACCGGAGTAGTCAAGCGAGTCAGCTCCTCCTGCGCCCAGGAATGAAGGGGAGTGTTACGGTATGAAGTTTTATGAGTGTTACGGTATGAAGTTGTATGCTGCAGGAGCCGACTCTACCGAGTTCGAAGTTGAGGAGTCAGAAGAGTCGAAGCGACGCAGCAACCGTCTGACCAAGACCGATGCAGGCAGAAACATTTGAAGTGAAAAGAGCGGGAACAGGTTCGGAACGGGTTCTCGCGCCGTACGGTTTGAATTTGCTGGAATAAGGGAATGTACTCCTTAGAGTACATGGCTAGTCTAGGTCTTTTCGTATTCCTTTGTATTCTTATATAAACTCGATGTATACATGCTATTATCAACTCAGTCATTTACATTCACTCTGACCTGAGATTCAAACTTCCGCTGCAACACTACTCTGCGATCAACCCTGAGCGATCCTTCGCTAAGTCCCACTTGGGATTGTAACAGATTCTACATTCCCAATTTGATCTAGATGTCCATCGCTTTTTATTATTCTAGAGGAACGTTTTTCGGGCAATGTTACACTGTATCTGCTGGCACCCTTGGAGTGTCGGCAATTCCTGGACTGTGCTATTCTTGTAGCATAGTACTAGAAGTGATTCGCCAATGCGGTCGACACCTTGTATTGTTGTGAATCGTGAATAGTGAATAGGTACTTCCGGTAGAAATGTCAGCTTTTTTTTCCTCACCCCCCTCCCCTCCCCTCCCTCACCCTCATCCTCTCCCCCGGCTTCCTCCATCCCTCCCCATTCCCCCCCTTCTCTCCCCTTCTCTCCCCTTCCCTCCATCTCCCTCCCCCTTTTCCAATACTGCCCACACCAAGAAAACTGGGCACTTGGTGGTCTCAACCCTGGGCGAGTGGCATATCTGAGCAATGTGATACGGCGGCACGGAAAGGATGGCCTTGGATCAGAGGTGAGCCCAAGGTGGCATGGGGCATTCAAAGCACCAGTCAGGACCCGAGTAACGGCAGCAGTGCAGCCACAGGTGTTGCTCCACTTGCACGCCCCTGAGTACAAGTAGGGAGAAGGTTTGCGAAAGCACAGGCAGCAAGGACTTGGGATCTGCATGTATGGCAGAAAATAAGGCAACGATGGGTCATATGCGGGAAGCGAAGGGGAACATGTAAGGGTGGGTAGTGGGCACTGACTCTGCAGGGATGAGGGGGCAGTGTGGACAGAGAGGGTCGGTGAGATGCGGAGGGATAGAAGGGAGTGCGACAGGTGATGGATGTGCTGCTGCTGCGGCACTGCCCTCTGCCGTCTCCACCACCGCCTTCACAGCCTCTCCCTTGCCCTCCGCTTCCTTCACTCCTCCCTCTGTAACCCCCTCATTCAACACCATCTCGATTGCAAGCGCCCCAATGCCCTCCTCCTTGGTAACGCCCCTCACAATGTGTGACCCCCCCCCAGTGGCACCTGCTGCGCCATGCTCATCTCCACAGGAAGGTGCACCTTGTGCGGCTAAACCACTCCCTCTCTCCTGCTCCTTTGCCTCGCCCCCTTCCTCTCCGCCCAAGTGCGTGTTCAGGCTTCCAGGGAAAGGTGCAGCTCCATCGCACTCGCTCTGCTGCACTCGCGCTGCCTTGCATGCTCTCCCCCCTTCCCCACACATCCTCACAGTACCCAAGTCATCAGATGCACTGCAATTGCCCCCTTTACTGCCATCATGCACCCCCAACGGTCTTCCCTCTCTCTCACTCACACGGCCCTCCACGCCACCTGCTTCCTGCAGCACATCCCTGCCGTCTGTTCTATGCGTGCCTCTGCCACTCCCTTTCACCTCAGCATCTGAGGCACCATCACCGCTTCTGCGATTATCATCATCCTTGCAATGAGCAGCAGCAGCAGCATGTGAGGCGGGAGTGGTTACAAGCTTGTCCGGCAAAGAGCTCAAGGCAGTAGACGGCGAAGAGGAGGAGGTGATGCGGGTCGAGGGGAGGGGCAGCAGGGCAGAGGGCGCATGGGGTGGCGGTGGCAGGTAGAGGTCATCGTTGCCCACGGGGTGGCCCACATGTTGCAGATGCACTCGGATCTGACACGCACCATGCACGGGGACAAGAAAGCCCAATCGGGAAGGAAGGAAAGTGCAAGGGATAAGGGCTGTAGCAACATACAATCCTGTGCGTTGTAGGCCTTGAGAACTGAGAAACTTTTCCCTGTCCCATGGACACCCTCCCCTTCCCTGCACAGCACAGCAGCAGTGCCGGACCCACCTGGTGGGTGCGGCCGGTGCGGGGCGAGCAGCGCACAATGCTGCACGTGCCATCGCCCGCCACCGCCTGCCGCTCAAACACCGTCACTGCCGCCTTCTCCTTGTCGTCCTCCGCACCCTCTCCACCACCCCCCTCTGCACCCTTTGCCTGCGCCCTGGCCTGCCTCTTCGCCATCGCCTTTGCCCTCCTCACATCACGTGCCTTTCTTGGCCTAGCTTCCTTCTCCTCACCATCACATTTCCCAACTTTCTCCGCCTGCTCCCCTCCATCTCTCTCCTCCATCTTTCCCTCTTGTCCCACACTTTCCTTATCGCACATAGACTAATGCCAAGAGGGGAACATACGGGAATGGGAGTTGCACAGGAGGCAAGTGGATGAGAAGGTAGGGAGCTGCGCACATACGGATGCTCCACACGCCAAAAAGCACCACCAAGAAAGCAGGAGAAAAAACAAGGACAGGAGAAGCAGAGAACGACATGGTGCAGCCGTAAGTGGAGTGCAAGCAAGGGCCACAGGCGCACACACCTGCAGCGCTGTGAGGTGCTGGTCCGGCTGCGGTGCAGGTGCAGGTGCAGGTGTGGAGACCACACGGCTGACGCCCATGCGCGCATCGTACACCACGGGCGCACACACCTCCACCTGCCCACCCACACCGGCGCGCGGCACACGGGCGCAGGCGTGGGAGGGTGTTGGAGCACAAAAAAGCACAGGGAGACAGAGTTACGGCAGCCGGCCACCAGGTTAGCGAGCCGCAGGGGAGGCATAGGCAGACACAAAGCGGGCAGGCAAGCAAGAGAAGAGCACGGGGATTGGCGGTCAGATCGCAGGCATGTGAGTCGAGCAGGCAGACAGAGGGGAGAAGAGGGCAGGGGTGAGCAGGGCAGGGAGGAACGAACGGGGTTGGGAGGGAAGGTGCCGGTGACCCGCGCGATGTACTGCTTGCGGATCTGCCCACTCATCATCTGCATCGCACAAGCACACAGGGGGGACGGGGGCCAACCATGCCAATGCCTGTGTGTGCTGGACGAGGCAGTCAGGCATGGGAGACATTGCTGCCACATGTGCATGCATGGTGCACATGATCCAATGCGTGTGGGCGTGTGCGTGGGCGTGTGTGTGGGCGTGTGTGTGGGCGTGTGCGTGGGCGTGTGTGTGGGCGTGTGCGTGGGCGTGTGTGTGGGCGTGTGTGTGGTGTGGGTGTGTGTGTGTGTGTGTGTGCGTGGTGTGGGCGTTTGTGTGGGCGTGCGTGTGGGCGTGTGTGTGTGTGGGCGTGCCTGCAGTCGGAAGGTTTCAGCAGCAGCAGCGGACTTGGCGAGAATGAGAAGGCCCGACACGGAGCGGTCCAAGCGGTGGATGGCTGCCACACATGCATGCACGGATGGTGACATGCACCGGGGGTCAGGGGTTACGAACATGTCATGTGCCCGCTACACACACTCAATGGTGGCACATGAGCAGCAGGGTGACAGCAAGAGGGCAGCAGGAGGGCAGCAGGAGGGCAGCAGGCGGCATCGTACGGAAGAGCTGTCCATAGCCGTGGAAGGCCTGCAGCACACTGAGCACCGTGTTCTTGCGGTACTGCCCACACGGGTGCACCTGCCCCCACCCATGCCCGCATGCACACACATGGGGTCGAGGCCAGCACGGCAACGCAAAGCACGGGATGAAGAAATTACATCAGCATGCGTGTCTTGTGCAGATGTGCACAACATGCATGCATGTATGATAAGAGCGAAACCCGTTGCTGCAGCCTTCTGATGCCATTCAGTAGAAAACATGTTTCTGAGAATTTGGGACATAAAGCGATACTTTTTCAAAAGTGCCAGAGACATAAAAATCTAAAGGCAATTAAAACGGTTTTATCCTACATGGCATGGCCACGCCCCCTGAGTGTGAGTGAGACAAGTAGTGGTGAGAGAAGAGGGTGGTTGGCATGGCACGGCACTGACTGGCATGGAGCTGGGCTTGCAGACGACCAGCACCGTGTCCGACTCCTGCAGCACCTCCACTGGCGCTGCATCCACCCATGGCTCGTGCCTGCGCCATGCCCCCATGCCCCCATGCCACCATGCCCCCATCCAACCATGCCCCCATGCCACCATGGCCCCATGCCCCCATGCCCCCATGACCCCGTGCCCCCATGACCCCGTGCCCCCATGACCCCATGCCCCCATGACCCCATGCCCCCATGACCCCATGCCCCCATGCCGCCATGCCCCCGTGGCCAGCACAAAGGTGGAAACTTGTTTTGATCTCTCAGGGGGTTGTTTGGCATGTGCGGACTCGGCAGCAGCAGGAGACATTGATGGCAGGAAAAGGCGAGGAAATGAAGGGGGAAAGGTGATGGGGCAGAGAACGGAGAAGGAGAGTGGCAAGTGGTAGAATGAGAGGGAGTGGCACGATGGCATGCCTGTGCACATAGTGTGTCATGGTCTGAGACTGTCTGACTGCATAGTCCGGTGCCACATTGCGCCCATCCACTTGAATCCGCCCCACCCTCACTGCCTCCTCCTGCTCACCACATGCACACACATGCACACACATGCACACACGTGCACACACATGCACACACATGCACACACGTGCACACACATGCACACACATGCACACACATGCACACACATGCACACACATGCACACACATGCACACACGTGCACACACATGCACACACGTGCACACACATGCACATACATGCACACACATGCACACACATGCACACACATGCACACACATGCACACACATGCACACACATGCACACACATGCACACACATGCACACACGTGCACACACATGCACACACGTGCACACACGTGCACACACATGCACACACATGCACACACATGCACACACATGCACACACATGCACACACGTGCACACACATGCACACACATGCACACACGTGCACACACATGCACACACATGCACACACGTGCACACACATGCACACACGTGCACACACATGCACACACATGCACACACATGCACACACATGCACACACGTGCACACACGTGCACACACGTGCACACACGTGCACACACGTGCACACACGTGCACACACATGCACACACATGCACACACGTGCACACACATGCACACACATGCACACACATGCACACACGTGCACACACATGCACACACATGCAGACACATGCACACACATGCACACACGTGCACACACATGCACATGCATGCACACACATACACACACATGCACACACATGCACATGCACACATGCGTGTAAGGCATAAACACACAAGCATGCATACCCACAGCCAGCGAAGGTATGGTGTTAGGGGCAGGTGGTAGTAGCATGGCGCAGACAGGAGGGCTTTTGCGGTGCCTCAAAGCTTGGCTCAGGAAGGCATGCGAGCGGGGGCGGGGTCACACGAGTGCATGCCTGCAGCGTGATGCCCTTTGCCTTGCTGCAGCCTGCAGCGGCCTCTGCCTGAACTCACATAGTACTGCAGCGGCCTCTGCCTGAACTCACATAGTACTGCAGCGGCCTCTGCCTGAACTCACATAGTACTGCAGCGGCCTCTGCCTGAACTCACATAGTACTGCAGCGGCCTCTGCCTGAACTCACATAGTACTGCAGCTGCCTCTGCCTGAACTCACATAGTACTGCAGCGGCCTCTGCCTGAACTCACATAGTACTGCAGCGGCCTCTGCCTGAACTCACATAGTACTGCAGCGGCCTCTGCCTGAACTCACATAGTACTGCAGCGGCCTCTGCCTGAACTCGGACGCGAACAGCTCCGCAATGCGCCGCCCGTGCCACCGCTGCTTCACCTGCTTGCGGCCCGCCAGGGAGGCACACGAGAACGGGTGGAGGGACGGGGAGGTGAGGCAGCGAGGCGAGGTGAGCACAGAAATGAGGGAGAAGAGCGGGCAACGGGGGGACGCAGGACAGGCGGGCAAGGGGATGGACGGATGGACGATGTGGGCTGTCCTGCTCACGGCATGGCGGCACACGGCATGGCGGCACACGGCATGGCGGCACACTGCATGGCGGCACACGGCATGGCGGCACACTGCATGGCGGCACACTGCATGGCGGCACACTGCATGGCGGCACACTGCATGGCGGCACACTGCATGGCGGCACACTGCATGGCGGCACACTGCATGGCGGCACACTGCATGGCGGCACACTGCATGGCGGCACACTGCATGGCGGCACACTGCATGGCGGCACACTGCATGGCAACACACTGCATGGTGGCACACTGCATGGCGGCACACTGCATGGCGGCACACTGCATGGCGGCACACTGCATGGCGGCACACTGCATGGCGGCACACTGCATGGCGGCACACTGCATGGCGGCACACTGCATGGCGGCACACTGCATGGCGGCACACTGCATGGCGGCACACTGCATGGCGGCACACTGCATGGCGGCACACTGCATGGCGGCACACTGCATGGGGGCACACTGCATGGCGGCACACTGCATGGCGGCACACTGCATGGCGGCACACTGCATGGCGGCACACTGCATGGCGGCACACTGCATGGCGGCACACTGCATGGCGGCACACTGCATGGCGGCACACTGCATGGCGGCACACTGCATGGCGGCACACTGCATGGCGGCACACTTCATGGCGGCACACTGCATGGCGGCACACTGCATGGCAACACACTGCATGGCGGCACACTGCATGGCGGCACACTGCATGGCGGCACACTGCATGGGGGCACACTGCATGGCAGCACACTGCATGGCGGCACACTGCATGGCGGCACACTGCATGGCGGCACACTGCATGGCGGCACACTGCATGGCGGCACACTGCATGGCGGCACACTGCATGGCGGCACACTGCATGGCGGCACACTGCATGGCGGCACACTGCATGGCGGCACACTGCATGGCGGCACACTGCATGGCGGCACACTGCATGGCGGCACACTGCATGCGTAGCAGGCGGAACCAATGTTGCACATGCATGTGGACGGGTGAGGCAGTAAAAGTGCAGTGCAGTGCTGTGCGGTGCAGAGTGGTGGCACGAGGCGGCAGGGGGGAGAGGCGCGGAGTGGGGCTCACATGTGCGACGAATTGGAAGAAGTAGGGCTTCACGTACCGCCGCCCTGCACGCACAGCCAAGGGAGGCATGGCGGCACCACGGCCATGGGACAGACCGCTCCGAGCGCACATCAACGGCTCTTGAGCAAGAGGAAAGGTTTGCATTCTCGGGAGTAAGGGAGAATGTGCAAGACAAACTGGCATGTGGGAACAGGCAAAAACGGCGTCACGCAGGCACGCGATGGGTTCATCAACAGGCCCGCGTTCGCCTTGTGTGCGGTGCGTGAGGGCGGTGCGTGTGCGGGTGGAGAGCGGCGTACCGTCGTGCACGATGTAGTCGTCGCGACTCGCCATGGATGACGGGTCCTCCCACTGTATGCCCTCGCGCCACCCGCTCGCCATTGCCGCTCGCGCTGCCCTTGCCTCGCGCGCGCTACGTCTTCCTCACCCCGCGATCAGAGCCGCACGAGTGGAGGCAGGTTTGACTTCCCGATGGAAGAATTAGAGCGGGTTCAACACGCAGCTCAGCTCTACTCCATCGCCCGCATTCACTAGTGCTGGACTCAAATTGTCATTCCATTCCCACTAAGTGCTGGACTCAAGGTGTCATCGCGCTGAAACGCATTGAAACTTGCGGTGCAATATTTTCACCGTGAAGTACCGTGCGGGCTCGCGGGGCTGAGGTTGGGTTTTCAATATTTGAATTTTTTTTCTCCACCATGCCCCACTGCATGAATAAAAATTCTACACCGTAGGTCCAATATTCTCTTTTGACAACTTCCAGGTGAAAATAATTGCAGTGCATAGGGAGAGGAAAGGGGGGTGGGTGGGAGGGGAGGATGGTGGTACCGTAGTACGGTATACCGCATGCAAATGCTATGATAGGTATTCAACGTGAAGGCCCACCTGGGAGGGGCCTACCAAACTATTGCCCAGAGGGTAGCTGGGACGAGCATTGGCAGAGGGGAGTGCGGGCAGTTTTGAAAGCCAGCAGGGAGGAAACGGGCAGATGCTTGGCACTGGAAAAGAAGAGGTTGGATGGCGGCATGTGGGAGGTAGGCTCGGAGGAACATAAATAGTGAAGCGGACGTGGACGGCGAGTGATAAGCGGTGAGTCTGCGCTGAAGGCAGGCAGCACACTGGCCAAGGTGTGCTGGCATATGCTCTCATCAAAACTTGGGAGGGCGGCTCCATATAAGATTGGTGATGCAGTGCAGAGGAGGCACGTGCTCACAAGCAGTGCACGTCCAGTGCGTCACGGGGCGGTGGTGCTGCCTCATCAGTGCACGGCAAGCACTGGCAGCACAAGGAACGGGGTGGGGTGTCAGCAGAAGACATGGGAGGAGCGTCCGTGTTTCCTGCGCGGGTGGGGGCTGGCCATGGGTGACTTGAGCAGCCGCCGCCCCAGTGCGTCCACAATCATGCTCTGCTCTGCACCCAGCGGACCCTCCCCACTGGGTCCCCCTGCGCCCCCCACGTCCACAGGGCCATTGAGGTCCATGGCAGACAGGTCCAGGTCACCGCTGTCACTGCTCGGTGCACTCCACTGCCGCCCACTGCTGCTGCCACCGTCGGGCCACGGCTCAGCATCACTGCCGGGGTGGGGGCGGGGCGGGGTGGCGTTGAGGTGATCGAAGTCACAGAGCAGGTTGTCCACCGTGTGGTCGCCCACCTGCACCAGCGGCACCAGCTGCGCCACGTCCACCGCCTCGCCCGCACCCCCACTGCTGCGCGCCCCGCCTGGCCCCGGCTCCACCAGCTCTGAGAAGTCCACACTCTGCCACCCGCCGCTGCCCTCCACCGCACTCGCAGCTGCAGGCGGCGCCGTGCTGGTGAGCACCATGCTCCTGCTGCCTCGCGGCGCGCGCAGCGTGCTGAGCAGCTGGCGCTCCACCCTGTGTGACGCCGTGGCCAGCGCTGCTGCATAGTCCGACGACACCTCCGGGCTGCCTGCACGCCCACTGCTGCCTGCTGCGCGCCCCGCCGAGTCATGCGGCATGGAGCGACTGCCCGCCGGCAGCAGCTGCCTCCTGCCCCCTGCCCCCGTGCAGTCCGGCGAATGGCGAGGGGGGAGAGCACTGGAGCGCGCACGAGAATCCGAGGACAGGGATGGCAGGGGGGGCATGGAGCGACCGGGGAGCGGAGGGGAGGAGGCAGATGCTATATTGGTGGCATCAGCGCGCCTAGATAGGCGGGCAGGGAGGGTGGCAAAGTTGCCGACAGCAGAGACGTGGTCGCGGTCCAGCATGGCGGAGAAGTCACACTCGTCCAGCACAAACGACACCCCCGCCGCTGCACGCACCGCTCCACCCCCTCCCACTCCGCCCCTTCCCCGCCCTGCATCGTCGCCTCCTTGTGTAGTGTCCGTGCCACCGCCCCCTCCCCCACCCTGCCACCTGCGCTCCTCTGAGTGAGCAGTAGGTGAGCCAAAGCCCTGTGCTGCATGTGCCTCGTCGCCCCCACCCCTGCTGTCGTGCTCGCCCTCATGCGCGCCCCCATCACTCCCACCCCTCGGGCCCCCCTCACCCCCCTCCACATCGTCCCCGTCCCTGACCCCACTAGCAGCCAGCCATCCCTCCACGTACGCTGCCTTGGAAGCACCTCCCCTCCGCTCCTCCTCTTCCTCCTCATCCCCTCTTTCCGTCTCCTCCACCTCCCTGAAGCACACCCGCGCCCGCCGACCCCCACGTGCACGCCCTGCCGAAGCACCTCCGCGAGTCTCCCCCACAGGCAGCGCTTGCTGTGGGCGTGGCGCCACGGGGTGGTCCTCGTCCAGTGCTTGCGCACACATGCTCTCCACCCACGCGTTGCCTGCTCGCCCCCACGCACATGACGAAAGAGGGAGAGAGAGCGAGAGAGAGAGAGAGAGAGGGAGGGAGAAAGAGAGAGAGAGAGGGGGGGGCGGAAAGAGAGGGAGGGAGAGAGGGAGGGAGAAAGAGAGAAAGAGAGAGAGAGAGAGGGGGGGGAAACGAGAGGGAGAGAGAGAGGGGGAGGGGAGGGGGGGGGGGGGGAGGGAGAGAGAGCAAAAGGGAAAAGCACAAGGTGAGTACATGGCAGCAGGCAAAGCCCCACACATAGGTGACAGCGCATGGAGAGGTGCTTGGCATGGTGTGCGCGCAACGAGCTGCTCACACCAATCGGTCGCCAGCAGGCCATGAGCAAAGAGCAGAGCGCAGAAGGCAGAGAGCAGAGAGAGAGGGCAGAGTGAGAGAGCAGAGAGAGAGGGCAGAGTGAGAGAACAGAGAGCAGAGAAGCGAGAGAGCAGAGCGAAAGAGCAGAGAGTAGAGAGAGAGAGCAGAGAGTAGGGAGAGAGAGCAGAGAGCAGAGGCAGGGGAGCGCAGCGTACTGAGGGCTTCGTTGGGAGTGGCTCGCTGGGCGGGGAGGCGGCAGAGCAGACGCGAGAGGAAGTGGCGGGCAGCGGCGGACATGGGAGGCCATGGAGGCGAGCACACGTCCGCACTGTCCGCTGCATCGCCATGAGCGGTGGCAGCACCAGCATCCGACGAGACGGCGAAGGGCGGCCTCCCCGAGAGCAGGAAGAAGACGAGCGCGCCCACCACCCACATGTCCGACTCGCCCTCGCCCCCGCTGCCCGCACACTCCGGCGCCTCAAATTGGTGCCGCCCTGCCTCACTGATGCGGTCGCGCGCTGCACATAGGCGCGCGCGAGGGAGGTGGCAGGAGACAACGAGGTTGACGCGAGGTGTAGGCAATCCACAGCACGGAGTGCAAGGGCGCGCGTGTCAGCGGAAAAAGGAGGAAGCAACGGAATGGGGCGGGGAGGCGGAGAGAGAGCGCGTACCGGCAGTGACGAGGTGCTGGGTGGCCGGGTCGAGCATGGATATGTCGGCCGCCATGCGCGGACCGAACAGCAGCAGGTCCTCGCCCCGCGCGTGCAGGCGCATCACGTTGCGCACGCGGAACTGGTTCACCGCCGCTGTCAGCTGCCGCGCCACCCTGCCCGCCGCCGCCTCGCCGCATGGCGCAGCGCGCTGCAGCACGCCCAGGGCCGCCTGCTGCTCCGCCTCGTCCCCGCCATCCATGCGCGCATGCACGCCCGCGCACCACCGCCCGCCCTGCCAGCCCACGGGGAACAACGCCACGTGCATTAGCGCCGCGGCCCCGGGGGCTCGACAGTTGAGCGAGCAGCATGATACTACGGGCATGGCGCTCACCGTACAGACATTATACAGTCAAGAGAAACGACAAAGACTCGGATACGTGGCACGAGCGAATTCTGCATGTGGGCTAGCCTCCAGCGGCAAGGGCAAAACGCAATCAATGGAGGCGGAATGACGGCAACGTGGGCCCGTTGCGCAGTGCGTTGCGAAAACACGGCGCAGGTGCGCGCGACAGAGCGGGAGCGGTAGACACTTAGGAGTCATTCCCACACGAGCATCTTCGCAATTGATACCAGCAGCACCAAGCACATTCTGACCCAACTCTCTACACTTGATTCTGGATGCTTGTTTGGGTAGCGTGAGTGCGCGACAGCGGCGAGCGGGGTGCACAGCGACGAGCAACTTCAGTCGCGACTGGACAGGCCGTGCGAGCGGGAACCTCGCAGCTTAGAGCGCGTGAGTTTAGGCGCCACATGCGAGACACACAAACGGTACAGCGGTTGTGAGTACTGTGGACAGCCTGACATGCTCAGCGACGGCACTTTAGGAGCGGGTTAAAGCAGACAGATTGGTGCAACTAAGTTACAGTTGAAAACATTTCCTTTCACGAAACGGCCGACAACGAAAGCATGCGACAGCGGCGGGCTCGTGAGCAGAAGAGAAATGCGGCGTTCAGGCAGGGGGTGATGGGCTGCGGGCAATGCGCTAACAGATGGCACCACGCGGGTGCAGGCTGCCTGGACATGTGGGTTTGGTGGCCCGAATGGCCACACATGGACTAACGAAAAAATTAAAGCATCTGAAATGGAGAACCTGGTTGGTGCGAGGTAGGCGGCGTCGCTGTGGAGAGGCCCGCGAGCAGGGCCGGTAGGCGCGTCACGGCGGACTCGCTAGGCGCGGAGAGTGCGGCCGGACGTGGGTGGCGTTGAGAGCGGGGAGTTCGTTGGGAAGGACGAGAGACTAACCACAGGGTGGAGCTGCGGGGGAGGCCCGGGACAAAAATGGGTGGGGCGTTAAGAGACTAGGCTAGAAGGCTAGGGGCGGATAGTATCGCGGGCTTCGGAAAGATAATTACTTCCACTGTCACCAGATCTGCAGGCAGGTGAAACGATACGCAGCTACGCGACCATGCCTGGAAATTATCGTTGGGCGCGAGGAACCTTGAGGCCACGTGCCTGACTTGACCGTCGACGTGGTTGTTGTGTCATGGAATTGTAAGGATCAGAAACGAAAACCCTAAACAAGACGCGAACAACAATCTTCTGGAGGGGAGGTTATATGCTCTAGTGGCTGCTCCTGGTGCTTCAGTGCATAAATAGGTACCAGTACACTCCACAAATCAACATATTTCCTCCAATGCTTTTCCACATCACACTGCCACCCAGAAAGCCTCAATGATGTTTTAGCCCTGCAAAAGCTTGACATGAGGCTGCCATTTAGATTTGAATATGTCAGCACGATGATGTGAAACGTTCGGAATTGTACATACAAGCCTTATGTCATAAAAATCAAACGGGGCAAGAGCTAACCTTTTAGCTTTCACATACCAACATTCTGCATGCATGGTATTACAGAGTACTAAGCTTGTATATGAGATATTCATTCCTATGTACACAGCAGGCAGTCGGCCTACTTCAGGTCAGTAAAACGGAGGTACTTCTTGCCAGAAGGCAGTTCAACAGTCTCATGCCCTGGGAACTTTTTGGATGCCTCGTCCTCAGAAAGCGAGGGGGGGACCACGACCTTGTCACCCTTCTTCCAGTCTGAGGGCGTGGCTATCTGGCGGTCTGCAGCAAGCTGGAGAGCGTCTATTGCTCGCAGCACCTCGTCAAAGTTACGCCCAACAGAACCAGGATAGAGGAAACTCAGCTTCAGCTGCACCAGAAGCGGTTGGGCAACAGAAAATAGTGTGAGCGAAGGCTGAAACCTTGAAAAATGAACCCGGGACAAGTAGAGCATGACAAAAAAGCGAGATGATGAGCTTACCTTCTTGTCTGGGCCGATGATGTGCAGTGCACGTGAGGTGAGCGGGCGACCATTACTATCTTTCAGGTCGGGGTCGAGCATGTTCAGCTTCTGGGCCAGATCACGCGATGGGTCAGCAATTATTGGATACGCAACCTTGGCTCCCGGGGTGTATGCCTCAATGTCCTTGATCCACGCCACATGGTCGTCCACGCTGTCGCACGACAGCCCTGTAACACAACCGCCACAGCACAAGCGTCTTCCTCACTGTTCCCAACAGATTAAAAGCTCTGACAACAACCATGCTGAACAGTATAAAGTACATGTAGACCATTTAGAAACTCACCAATGAGCTTCACTCCACGCTGCTCAAACTCCCCGCTCCGAAGGGCGATCTTGCCCAGCTCCGTGGTGCAGACGGGAGTGAAGTCGCCCGGATGCGAGAACACCACAGCCCAGCTGTCGCCCACGAAATCGTGCAGCTTCATGCGTCCCCCAGTGGAGTCGAACTCAAGATTCGGCACCACCTCGCCAAGCGTAAGGCTAGCCATCGTGCTGCTCTTCCTAGTCCCGCTCAGGTCTTCGCTGCTCTCAGTAAGGGAATAACCCCCTGCCGCCGAAACCGGAACTCGAGAGGAGACCTTCAACGAATGAAAGCCGTGCGATCTTCCCTTCAAACGAGGGCCAAGGACTTGCCAAGGAACGGTAACAAAACCAGGGGAAGTGTTTGTACGACAAGCAGCCGAAGTTGCAGGAGGGGATACTCCAGCAGCACCCGTTCGCGCAACGAGAGACGTCATGGGCACAGTCAAAGCCCTTGTGCCTGGGTGCTTCAATAACTGGAAAGCGCGCCTGGATTGCATGGCGACGAGATACGGAAAGGAAGACCCAACAAAAAGCGGACTTCATGCTGTACGCGCATCGGTGCTCCATCGGTTCCTCCAACAAGCGGTTCGAGACTCAAAGGCGTTCAACACAAGGCCACGTGGGAAGCAGCATGAGCCGAGAACTGGTGCTGCTTTCGAGTGGCTTTGTATCGTCGAAATTCCCCGTTACATGCGGACGTGCATCGAGTCTGTCAAACGGATAAACAGAACATGACTTACAGCACAATCAACTTTACTTTCTCAGATTTTTACCTCTCAGCACATTTAAGTAGTGCAGCTCCCTTATGGATTTTAGATGTATTTTATGTTTCAAACTCATCATAAATAGACATTTGTGATTCTTTGTTTATGCGTCAAGCTAATGTGTCATAACGATATACTGGTACCTCCCAGTGCAGTAGTTAGCGCTGTCTGTATTTTGGCACTCTGAACAGGGTTTACAGTAATACAGTACTAGCCTACCACAACAGGTGATCTGTTATCCGTCCACCGCCACACTTGATCCGTTATCCATTCACCGCCGCACTTGCCTCGCGTTTCCCGTTCGCCTTGTGCCGCCAGCCCCAATGGACTCCTTTCCCTCTCCGCCGCTTCTTCCCGCACCGTCACCCCCCCGCGCTACCTTTGCGACCTTGCCTCAGCGCCTCGCTTCGCCCGGGCGCATTGGATGGGAACGAGGGGCGGCGCAATGCAGGGCGGAGAAGGAGGCGAGCGGGGCGGAAAGGGGAGTGGATTCGGGTAACGAGGACGAGGGAGAGCGCGCGGTCATGCGGTGGCGAGGCGGCGACCAGGACCAGGAGCAAGACAATGGCTCCGACAGCGACGAGGGCTCGGAACCGGGGCGCAGAAAGCGGCGGGAGCGGCGGACGTTCAGCAAAAGCGCGCGAGAGGAGTGCTGGAAGCAGGCAGCCATGGTGGAGGGGCGCAGCGGTGAGAGGTGTGCTCCCGGGAAGGCGGGGCGGGGAGTGGTGGGCGCGGATGGCATGTGAAGGGGCTCGGTGGTGGTGGGGGTGCGCGGGTCGTGCGGCGCAGCGGACGGCGATGGGGAGGGTGGTCATGGTGCACGGATGGCGCTCACGGTCACATGGATGTGTGGCGTGCCCATGTGTGTGTGGCATGCGCGTGCGTGGCAGGTGGCGGCGGGACGTGTTGGGCAATGTGGTGTTCCGACCGCTGCTGGGGTGCACGGGGCCGCTGTGCTTCGACTTCGATCACATTGTGCCCTTCGCCAAGGTAGCCTGCGCGCGTGTGCTGCCTCCACGCATGCCACCACATGCATGCACGCGCACCAGGGGTGAAGTGTGCGTTCAGCGGCTCATGACAAGGGGCCACCATGTTGCCACCCAGGCACACGTTAATGCCACTTCCCATGTCGTTCGCCTCACGTGTGACAAGTGTGGGATGGTCTTGAAACGGCAAGTGGCTTGAAATCTTGGGCGTGGCTACCCCATGGCCGTGCACGTGCCTTGTGTGCCTGCATGACATGCATCATGAGCCCCTTGCAAGCCCCGCTTCCTGCTGCCTCGTGTTGTGCTTGCTGCCCCATACCATTTCAACCAATCCACCGTGTGCCCCTCCTCTTCTTCTCCCCCGCACCTTTTTCTTTCCCCCCGTGCTGCAGGGTGGCACATCCGACGTGCACAACTGCCAGGTGCTCCAGGTGCGTGTGTCCCTCCCACCATGCTCAACATCCGCCACCCCACCCTCTTGCGACTCCGCACGGCCCATGTGGCTGCTCTGTCTGCGCGGTTCTCTCACCAGCCACCTCACTCATCATCACCTTCAATGCACGCATCTCCCGCTCCTTCGCCTCTTCCTCTCCCTTCCCCCCTCTCACCCCACTATGCCGTGCCAGGTGGCAGCCAATCGCGCCAAGGGCAGTGCAGTGAGTGACAGCTGGAGGCAAGACGCCCAGCCATTGGCCACACATCAGCCATCATGTGAGGCTTGATCCTTGCCGTGCCATCCACTGTGCCATGCACTGTGTGCCGTGTGCCCTGCCTGTGCCCGTTTGGCTCGATACTTTCCATACCTCACTTGAACAGGTCCAGCTGCGTCTCACTCCCATCCTCATTTGGCCTTGCTTCGTCTGTTGCCCCCTGCATTGTCTGTGTGCATGGCTGGCTGCCTGTGTGCGGCCTGTTTACATTGCTCTGCATGGGTGCATGAGAGCAGGCGAGGACATGGATGTGTTGGAGCTGGCAGCGTATGGGGACATGTGGCATGGCACCACTCGCCACGTGCTGCACTCCCCTGCATGCGATCGCCTGCAGCATGCCTCCACCAACAGGCGTGCCACTGGTGCTGCCATAGAGCGCGGCAGTGGGGATGGCAGAAAGGCTGCTGCCAACGGAGAGAGAGGAAGTGGGTGCACATTGCAATGACAGCATGTGTTGCCCATCTGCCCCATGCGTGTTTTGAAAGGTCTGCCCCTGCGCGCTTTGAAGAGTTGCAGAACATGGGGGCTGGTTGGAGCCCCTTGTCTGCCCTTGGTCAGAAGGGCTTCTCCTCATGGGAAACGTCTGGGATGTTTCCTGTAGGATCCATAAATTGACACACCAGCTCTTGCTAGAGGTACACCAGGGGAGGGCTTTCCCAACCACCCAATCAGCAGCATCTTTCACATTCAGGGCAAACAGCTTCACGAACAACCTGCGGTTTCTTGCCACACATCCCAAAATGTCCGATCCGATTGCTTGCTCACTTTACAGCCTTGCCAGTCGCCTGTCAGGGCTACACTGGTGAAACAACCAAACGCATATCAAAGCACTCTGGGCTACACTATGGTGGACCTACATATTTACATGCATACACATATTTACATTCCTGCTGCGAGATCCACTGAAGCCCTCACCCCGCCCGCATGTGCTCTCAGTGTACCCCTGCACCTTCCCTGCGAGCAGCCATGACAGCGGCATAGGAGTGCAGCTTGGAGGCGAGGTCATGGAAGCCATGGCAGAGGAAGTAGGTGCGCTGGAAGCCGTCCTTGTAGCTCATGCGCGGCAGTGGTCTCAGGGGGTCCAGCGGGGCGAACGACGGGTACTTGCCGTTGGCGCCTGCTCGCATGTATGCCAGCTCGCCATAGCTGGACAGCAGCCCCGCCCCGAACGCACGCACCTCGCCATGCTCCATCACCGTCCCAAACTCCACCGTGTACCTGCACTCACCCACCCATGCGGTCAGCAGAGCAGCCGTGGATGGGGAGGGCACTATGACATTCCAGCAATGCACACCCCTCACACAGGATAACACCAGTCTCCCTCCCAATACTTTTCTATTCCCTCTCAACCCCCTCCCCACCCTTTCCCCCACGCGGCGCACCAGTAGAGCTTGGTGAGGTGCCAGATGTCCTTGTCGGACGCCCCCAGCGACGCCTGCCCGATGGCGTGCGCCAGTGCGCTGAAGGCGGGGTCCGCCAGCATGGGCACGTGGCCCAGCAGCTCGTGGCACACGTCCGGCTCCGGCGTGTACATGGGCTGTGACGCGTGCCGGATGTACTGCTCCGCGGGCCACGCGGAATACGGGGTCACGGGTGCGGGAAGACGGGAAGGGAGAGCATAAATGCGGGAGAGATAGGGCAGTGAAGGGAGCAGGGGGCAGAGTTAGGAGATGCTGCAGCGAGATACACGGGAGTGTTGAGGGAGCAGAGCGGGGCGAGGGGCGGGGGGTGCACCTGCGTGGAGTGGAAGTACTTGAAGGCGAGTCCGTTGAGGAAGTCGCGCGGGTGCAGCAGCCCCGCCACGGGGCGGATGCGCCAGCCGCTGTGCGCGTGCAGCACGGCGGACACGTCCTCCAGCTGCGGGATGGCGTGCGGCGAGAACGCGAAGAGCGGCAGCGCGCGCAGGAACGTGGAGCAGGCGTGCGTGGGGTAGAGCTCCTGCAGCGCCGCCAGCACGGTGCGCCACACCGCCGTCTCCGAGTCGCTGTACTGCACGCGCGGGATGGGCGTGCCCCTGGGGTCATGACGGCAGCGTGTGCAAGGCGTGGAGGGGCGCATGTGGAGAAAGAGGCTTGAGGCGTGAGTATCGGCGGAAAGAGGGCGGGAGAGGGCGAGCACATGGCGAAGAAGCAACTCACAGTTGGTGCAGTTTCGCAATGTCAGCTATGTGTGCGCGGCGCCGCTTGTACTCCTCATCGTGATAGCCCTGCCACGAACGAACGAAGTTTGGGTCATGAGCAGCAGTACTAAGGGGAAAGGGGGACGGCGCAGTGTGTGCGCATGAGAGGCACTTGAGTCAGCTAGGCTTCACGAAACACGGCGAGCTGCAGCACACGCGCGCGAGTCCCGAGATGGTGAGCGCGCACTCACAGGGTGGTCCGGAGCGAGGTCGGCGCCGAATCCAAGGATGTGGTCGCCGTTGGAGATGTCCTCGATGCCACGTGGCACGCGCACAGCCGGTTCCGAAGCAACTGGGCACATGATAGCCACACGGGTTACGGTGGTAAAAGAACAGGGAAGGGTAGCGAAGTTGAAAGTTGTAAGGGCAGGGTGAGGGCAGGAGCGAGAGAGGCCACGAGATACGCAAAATACGGCGTCTTCTACGGAAGACCAAACATCGCAGCGATGCAGGCATAGCGAGAGCGACGAAGAGGGGGCGAGTGCTAGCTCCATCTAGAAGGCGAAGGCATGAAGCCACGCGCCCGCACCTCCAGCACATCTGCCTACTGACGCGGCATGTCTCCCTCTCTCCGCCTACTGTGTTATCCTCCTTACTCGGGTCTTTCCGCGACGAAGGAACAGCCGCATCCGGCGAAGGCAGCGGCGAAGCTGCAGCGTATGTCACAAAGCGCGGGAACGCAACCAAATCTTTCCGACGGCCGGCACTCTGCCGCCCGCCGCCCACCGCGGCGGGGCCTAAGGACCGCTTAACGGCTGCAAGCCTTCCATCTGTACGCGATGAGTCAACAGTCGAAAAGCGCAAAAGTACTGATCGCGTTACGACGGCCATGGCTTCTGGAGCAACTGGAATCGCAGGAAGTGCGCAGAGCGATGCAATATGATTCGCGAGTTGCGAGGTCCTTCAAGTACCTCGGAATCTTGAAGGGGAATTCTGTTGTCCTGCCATGCTCGCAACTGCACGCTACCTCACCCTCTCCCCCTCTCCAAGCCCCAATCTACGTCCCCTAGACCGAACCGCTTGGCTTCGGTAATACCAACCGACATACGCTCCCAGGCATCTAGGAGGCGACCCGCTTCCACGTATTTCTACTGGTTTCAGCATATTGTAAATTTCTATACGTGGCGCATGCCGATTCCACGGCTGCTCCAGCGATGCGACAGAATGGACCCACTCAGACACCTCGGTTGAAAGCATCAGCTTTCAGCCACGTGGATGAGCAAGACTTACAGAGATGGTCATCATAGCGCAAGCAGGCAGGGAACCTGGGAATTAGCGGGTCTCGTTCAATATTTTAAGGATTACTGTACTAAGTTCCTAGGGCAATGTGTAGAATGTATCAAGCATCTGTCCAGTTGTTCATGTTTTTGGGAAGTGAGTTTCTGTTTCATCAAAATATGATTCTTTTGCCACACCCAGCCAACATGGCTCTTTTCGTGTGGTGGATGCTAGATTGTCCAAAATTGCAAGTTAAGTGAATTCAAGTTTGCAGTGCAGACTATACAACATCAAGGTTGAAAACCTGGACCCGGGTGGCTCTCAATCTGGGTGGCGGGTGTTAACCACAAGAAGTATATACACAACGATGTGGTGTGGATATCAATTATGCCTATAATATTGGACGTTCTTCAAACAAAATCTGTCAGGACTTGAGATTTCTAAATTAGGAAACGTCAGAATGTTTTGAAGATTTCTTGCAAACAGTAACCGTAACATGCTAAGAATCACAAACCCAATTGACAACAAAAAAAATGCATCATTTCCCTCAAACTATCACCTATTTGAAAACAAATAAATAACTAAAACGAGTCTGTACACTCAAAACGCCTTCAGATTGCATCTTGCTCCGCTTGTCCTCCACTGCATCTCATTTCACCCCGCCATGGCTGACCCGTCCGCCTGGTTGAGCCAAGCCAGCGCCATGGCAGCAGTCCAGGAAAAATGGCTGCCTCCGGCGCCCTGCCCTGTGATGGGATCGTAATACTCGTACAGGCCGTGCTCGTTCATCAACCGCCGTGTGCTCGCCTCCACTCGCATCGCCAGGTCCTCATAGCCATAGAATCTCAGCCCATCCGTCACCATGTAGTTGACGATCGCCCACACTGGCCCCCTCCAGTACCTCAGCTTGTCGAAACGCGCGTCGGCGGGGTCCAGGCTTGGCACGCCGTACTCTACTTGGTCCAGCCACGTCGACAGAGTCGCTGCCAGTGTCTCCGCCTGTTCGAGCGTTGCAGTGCGAGCAAACAGCGGCAAGAAACCTGCTGACGTGGCGGCATCGAGGAACTCCCCTGTGAGCTGGTCGCGGCAGCGGAAGATGCCACTCGACTCGTCCCAAAGCGACGGGAAAGCCGCAGCAGAGCGTTGCAGCCACTGGTCGATTTCCATGGCGTCGTCTGTGCGGCCCAGGGTGACGGCCAGCCAGCGGAGGTCGAGGTTGGCGCGGCGAAGGAGGGAGTTGGTGCACACATCGGTCACTCGGAAAGGCGACAGGTAGTAGAGCTGGCTAGGGTCATAGTCCACGGCGCGGAATCGGTACAGCAGCGTGAGGTAGCGGTCGTACTCCGCCTGGGTGGGGCGCATTGACGCGTCCACGTGGCCCAGGTCCCTGCGCGTGTACGCGGGGATGTCGTCCACGGGCACGTTGCGCAGAGGCACGTCCCACGCCACGCTGTTGTCCATGCCCGACTCCCACGGGTGCAGCGTCGCCACCAACCCCGTGTCTTGCGGGTCACGCGCCATGTGGAACCACCGGTGGTACGCCATCAGCTTCGGAAACAGCTCCTCCGCCTGCTGCAAGCTGTAGCTGCTCCGATCGTCCGCCAAGCTGCCGCCGTTCCACGCCACACCGTCAGCTACGTCTCCCCCCATGCTTCGTTCCAGCAGTTGCCGAACCGCCGTCGCCGCAATCGGTGGCTGAGTGATGCCGGTGCTGTTCCGAGGGCTCTCCGCCGTGCCCCAGATTTCGGGACCGGGGAAGTAAGTGGGGCTGGGCTGGTGGAACACAATGTGCGGCACCATGCCGTCCTCCCATTGCGCGGAAAACAGTCTCCGCATCTCCTCCCACGCGCGCTCGTGGTCCACGGCGGACCAGCCGATGGCCACGAGTCCAGAGTCCCAGTTCCACTGGTACGGGTACAGCCCCTTAGCCGGAATCGTATACCCTCCTCGGTCGTTTCCTCGAAGGATCTCCTCCGCCTCCAGCACCACCTCAGCACGGAGCCCGCGTGCGAGCCGTTGCGCGTCTTTGGCGGGAATGTCAAACGACTCCAATGGCGGACGTTCTGTCAGCGGCGGCGCAGTGGTGACGGCGTCTAGCTGGAGCAGGGTCTCGGTGGAGACTCGCCGGAGAAGGGGGAGGGAGGGGCTGCTCGGTGGGAGGAGCGACGAGGACGACGCGGACGACGTGAGTAATTGCGATCCGCCTTGTGTTCTGTCGAGCGACATCGGTGGAAGAGCGTTGATGCTCACAGAACGATCCATCGCTTGCAAAGTCAAGGCTTCAGCGTTCGTCATGGCCTCGGATACGGGTGCAGAGAGGAACGTGGCAGCCTGTGGGGCAGCAGCTTCCTGAGTAGATGCTTGGAGGACTGCACTGACAGGAGCTGGAGGTGCCGAGATTACGTGAGAAGCCATTATTGATGCTACGTCCATGGTGAGAGCTGACGACGATATTAACGAGCTGGGATGGATGGTCAAACAAAGCAGCAGCGAAATGAGACTGAAGAATAAGCCGAAACGAAGCTGGCTTTGAGCTTGGTGAGAAGAGAAGGAAAGTATGACAGGCGAGGCGAAGCACGATCTGATCAGCGAAGTGCAAAGGAATTTGGGCAGAGCCACGAGCTCAAATCCATTTCCGCCGACTCGATCAGGTGCATTCGGCGATCGCGCGCCAAGCCGCAGATACATGTTCACCACCAGTGCCCAATCGCCAATCGTGAAAAAACCCAGCACCTAGAGTGGCGTTTGTGGACAAGCGCTGCGGTGCGGCGGCTGCTAAGTTCGTAGCCGTCAGCTTGCGTCAAATACCACGTGGCACTGCCATCGAAATCGCGAAATGACCAGTCTCCTACGTCAGCAGGTTGAACTCAAATTTTGGCCGAGGGTAAGACTGAAATGACGGGGTCGCCACGTCATGAGGCGTGGTGTCAGTCAGCAAAACGGCGCGCTAGCACCAACCGAAATACTCTTAATAATCAGCCCGGTTGAAGGAACTTGTTCCTCACGAGAACCATGGACCTACTCATGGTACTTATTATGCAAATTCAACGAATGTGCTAAGTGAGAAAATGATACATCCAAGACGGCGCACTCTCTACCGTATTCAATGCACACAATGAACGATAATGAACATAGCATCTAATATAATTAACCTTTCAGCAGACATGTGCTACAACAGTCACGTTACTTAATATAAATATTTCAACATATGATTTAGATAAGACTGCTAGTGAACCAGAAATTTTCATATTTCTGAGCTTTAAAGAGATTAGAATTATGGGGTTCAGTGTTGAATTTGTCTGTAGGAAGTATCCACTACACTTGCTGCACTATGTAGGAAATATTGTTTAACCCTGATAAAACCCTGACATCTCTCTGGCCTTCCTTCTGAGGGTCCTATCCCGATTTTTCATTGCGCCTGACACAGTCACACTTCTCTTAGGTGAGTATGACGGGGTCTTTTGACCCAACCAGCAGCAAAGCGCGTTGACTCCGTGGGCCAGTGTGAGATGTGCGCACAGAAGGACCGCTCTGCGCTCACGGACGTGTCAATGTTGGTGCCTCAGCTGCATTGCCGTCATCATGCCGCGCCTCGGCTCCTCGTCACGCTTATAGCCTCCTTCCACGCCATCACCTTTTGGCGGGAGGCAATGCACGAAAGGAGATAGGGAGGGCAAGGCATGTGTGAGCATCCGCGGCGCGATGGAGGGCGGTGTGAGATGACTTGAATGGTTGCGCGGCGCATCATGCCACACCCACACCATGTGCTTGATGGCATTGCAAGGACCACAATTGATCCAGAGCATTGATCCGTAGTTGCACTCTAGTTTGGTTGCTTCAAAACCCATCGATACAAGACTGTGTGTCCAACCATTCGCTGAAGTCCCCGCCCCACCCGAAGTTCGGAGACAGCAGTCAGTGGCGAATAACACGGTGGTTTGGATGCGTAGCATTCAAAGACCACGATCGACCATCTAATTGGATGCCCCTGCTTGCCGTTCCTTTCGCGCAATCACTGGACGTCCAGAACAAAAGCGAGAACATAGGAAGTCAAGTAGTCATTGCTGCGTCGAGAGAGTTTAGGGTTATCCTCGCACAATGCGTTCGATTAGTTAGAGCCAGCTGAAAGTAGGGGCGATTTTTAAGGACGAATCAGCCTTGGAGGCGTGTCGTCAGCCGGGTTCCTCTGGCCCAGCATGGCCAGGGCTCCTCCGGCCCAGTCTCATTCCCACCACATCTCGCCGTTAACCATGTCGTCCCTTCTCGTTATTACCCTCTTAATCGTTGCACCGCTCGCGTGCCTGGCCGTCACGCGCCCGTCGGACATAGAGGCGCTCGTCTCGTTTAGAAATGCTCTAAAAAATCCCGCGCCGCTCAAGTGGCCCGAATCGGGCGATCCGTGCGAAGACAGCTGGGAGCACCTTTCATGCAGCCGCGACCCGTCGTCCGACTACCACGTCGTTTCCGGCATGCTCCTGCCGCAACTCGCCCTCGGCGGCAAGCTCGCGCCGGCCATCGCGAACCTGAAGGACCTACGCGCCGTGTTTCTGGGCGACAACGGCTTCACCGGGCCGGTGCCGGCGGAGCTGGGGCGACTGGAGAAGCTGGAGAAGATAGGGCTAGACCACAACCTGTTCACGGCCATTCCTGTTAATCTCTTCGAGAACATGACGAACCTGCAGGCCGTGTACCTGCTCTCGAACGACTACCAGGGCCAGCCCATGCCGGACTTCTCGAAGAACGCGGCCCTCGAGGTCATGGAGCTCACCGAGTGCGGTTTCTCCGGTCCGCTGCCTGCGTACATCGGCGGCATGGCGTCGCTGGTAAATCTCAGCCTGGCACACAACCAGTTCGCTGGCGAGATCCCCCCCGATATGTTCGGCGCGGGCCAGGCTAGCCTGCAGTCGGTGCGGCTGAACAACAACCAGATCAAGGGGCCCATCCCCGACGGGCTCGGCCAGGTGCCGCTACTCTCGGAGCTCTGGCTGCACGGGAACCTGCTCTCGGGCGCCATCCCCGACTCGCTGGGTGGGCCGCTGTCGTTGCTGCAGTCGGTGAAGCTGTACGAGAATGAGCTGACGGGTATGGTGCCCAAGACCCTGGGCGACACGCCCAACCTGCGCGACCTGCAGGTGCAGAAGAACCAGCTCGTGGGGCCCATCTGGCGCTTCATGAAGCAATTCGGCAACAAGAGCTACAGCCCCAACGGCTTCTGCGGCGCGAAGCCTGGCGACAAGTGCCCGCGGGAGACGATGGCGCTGCTGGAGTTGCTCAAGTCCGTGCAGTACCCGCCCGTGCTCGTCGCGTCGTGGAAGGGGTCGTCGCCGTGTGGCGCCGCCGACCAGGTTTCGTCGTGGGTGGGCGTGGGGTGCTCGGCGCGCGGGAAGGTGCGCAGCATAACGCTGGCCAGGCAGGGTCTCAACGGAACGCTCTCGCCGTCGCTGGGAAAGCTCCTGTCGCTCGAGATGCTGCAGGTGCCCGGCAACAACCTCACTGGGCCCGTGCCGCCCGAGCTCGCCGCCTTGCCCGCGCTAAAAGCGATCAACCTCGCTAACAACAGCTTCACGGGTGACCTGCCCCAGTTCGCGCCGGGAGTCACGGTGCTTTCGATGGGCAATCAGTTCACTGTTGCCGAACCGCCCGCGGCGCCGCCATCCGAGCCGCCAGTCGTGCCTCCCGTCGCGCCTCCCTCTCTGCCTTCAGTGCCGAAGCCCCCCGTTGTGGTGCCGCCGGTGGTGGTGCCGCCAGTAGTGGTGCCCAAGCCCAAGGTGCAGCCGCCTGTGGTCGCTCCCAAGCCCAAAGTGCCGCCCGTCGTCGTCGTCAAGACTTCTCCACGCAAGCCGCACGTGCCGCGTCGGCCGCACGTTCCTAAGAGCCCCGTGGTGACGCCCCCCGTTAATACCACTCGCCCCACCACGCCGCCGAAACCTGTTCCCCCGACGCCTAGCACACCCCCAGGTAGAGAACTTTTTATCTTCCTTGTCCAAAACGCTCCGTCATGCCGTGTGGTCTCACCTCATCTCTCTCGTGCACTTTGGTTTCCGGTTCCGCTCACCGTGCCTCTCTCCCAAAACCCCGGTCCCCGCAGCGTCCGTGCCAGTCAATGTGACCGCACCGCCGTCTCTCCCGTCAACACCTCCGCCGCAGCAACCAATACAGAACGTTAGCGCAATTGCCGGGGGTGACAGCGTCGCGAGCACCAGCAGCAGCAGCAGCAGCAGTGCGGCACCAGCGAGCAGCGGGGGTGGCGGCACCTCTGTGCCGATAGCGGCGATCGTGGTCCCCGTGGCGCTGCTTTTGTGCGTCGCCCTCGCGCTCTGCGGCCTCTGCATCTTCTTCCGCCGCTCGCGCCACTGGCGCCGCGTGGGCAGCCCGTCCATGTGAGTTGCTGGAAGTGTAGACCCGCCTAGTGCGGCGCGAACGAACACTCAATACAACTAGAATGTCCCCTCTGCCCCCACATTCAGTCACAATCCCGCATTGGGACATATAATAAGCCTGCTTTCTTTCCCCCGTCTCCCACCCCTCATCCTTCCCCCGCTGCTCACCCCCAGGTCCGACTCGCGGGATCCGCACGGCGCGCTGGCGTCGGCGACGGTGCCGATCTCGCTGGCGGGGGCCACGGCGCCCACGGACGTTAAGATCCGCATCGACCCCGCGGCGCTCGCCGCCAGTCGCGGGTTCGCGGTGGGCGACTCGTCGGAGGGCGACCTGCTCATCCGCATCGAAGTCATCCGCGCCGCCACCGGCGACTTCGCGCCGTCCAACATCATCGGCAAGGGCGGCTTCGGTACCGTGTATAAGGGCGAGTTGGAGGACGGCACCAAGGTGGCGGTGAAGCGCATGGAGCTGGGTCACCTCTCCACCAAGGGCCTCTCCGAGTTCCAGGTAACGCCTCGCACCCCTGCTTGCTTCCCTAGCATCGCCCCACCTGTCCGTCTGCATTTCTCTAACGTGCTTTCGTCATCCATGTGCGCGTGCGTGGCGTGGTGGCGGTGCGTGTGCGTGCAGGCGGAGATCGGCGTGTTGACGAAGCTGCGGCACCGCCATCTGGTGGCGCTGCTGGGCTACGTCGTCGACGGCTACGAGCGCCTGCTCGTCTACGAGTACATGCCCAAGGTGCCGCGCCCCCCCCTCCTCGCTCTCCCCTCTCTCTGCGCCTCTAGCCTCGTCTTCCTGGTGGAATCTGCTTCCTTGTGATTCCACGCAACCACCCAAGTCCTTCCCATCCTCTCGGCCCCTCATCGTTCTCACCCGCCTCCCCCCGCTTTCCCCGTGCTCCCTCTGCTCCCGCGCGCAGGGTCCGCTGAGCCGGCACCTGTTCGACCACCAGCGCCTGGGGCTGCGGCCGCTGGACTGGCGCACGCGTGTGTCGGTGGCGCTGGACGTGGCGCGCGGGCTGGAGTACCTGCACGGGCTGGCGCGCGCGTCGTTCATCCACCGCGACATGAAGCCGAGCAACGTGCTGCTGGACGACTCGTTCCGCGCCAAGGTCTCGGACTTCGGGCTCGTCAAGCAGCAGCAGCTCGGCGGAATCGACGGCTACCAGCCCTCCATCGAAACCCGCCTCGCCGGCACCTTTGGCTACCTCGCCCCGGAATATGCAGGTATGGAGTGTGCAATGCGGGTGGCCTCGTTGCTGCTGGGCCTTATGCGACGCATCAGACCACCGCTTGGACTGCCCTAAACCACCCCGTTCCTCTTCGCCCCTGGGTGCATGCATGCAGTGACGGGCAAGGTGACGACCAAGTCGGACGTGTACAGCTATGGCGTGGTGCTCATGGAGCTCGTCACGGGCCGACGCGCGCTCGACTCGAGCCAGTCCGAGGACACGGTGCACCTCGCCACGTGGCTGCCGCCGCACATCCCCGACCGCCAGAAGCTCGCTCTCGTGCGCACTCACTTCCCACCACTTCACCCCCCTCCCTGCTGCTCCCGTACTCCTCCCATGTCAATCCGACCCATTCTCCTTCCCGCAATCCCAACAACACCATCCCTTGGCCTCGCCTGAATGTTCGTCCTTACCATGTGAATTCCCATGTGCATCGCCCCCTCCCCAGGTGGTGGATCCGACGCTAGCAGCTGAGTCACCGACGGTGGTGGGCGGGGAGGCGGGCAGCGGGGTGACGGTGTTTGAGTCCATCTGCGCCATGGCGGACCTCGCGCTGCACTGCACCGCCAGGGACCCCAAGCGACGCCCCACCATGAGCGACGTTGTTGCCGCGCTTGTGCCCCTCGTGCAGCAGTGGAAACCCCAGGCGAGCCCCCCTCCCCCCTTGTCAGCAGCCCTGCATGGATTTCGAAATTGTCTGGAGCACACCTTGTGCTCACTTGACTTGCTCCTCTCATTGCTCCTCCACATCATCATACTTTTCTAAACCCCAAGCCCCTGCAAACCGTGACTCCCAAATGTGTGTGCGCCTACCAGGATCCATTGGAGGACCAGACGGGCGGCATCGACATGGCAATCAGCCTGGCGGACGCGCTGCAGCAGTGGAAGGAGATGGGCGAGGGCGACGAGCTGCCCGGTGCCTACAACCCTGACGACAGCTTCTGCGCTGACTGCAGCCCCAGCTTTGATGGGCTGGGCGCTGTTGCTGCTGCAGGGGCGTGCGCCAACGGGTGCTGCAAGGGCAAGAAGGCGGCAGGCGAGGAGAGTGAGGGGTCTGCAAGCGACAAGGCAGAGGGGAAGTTGGGTGCAGGGGCCAAGGACGTGGGGGCGTTCGTGAGTGGTGACCTGGATGAGGCGGCGACACTGGGTGCTGGCAGTGGCAAGGGAGGCAAGGTGGTGCTGGTGGAGTATGGCAGCAAGCAGCCCAGTGCAGGAGAGGCAGCAGCCACAGCAGCCAAGCTGGGTGAGGTGCTCAATGGGCTGTCGGCGCCAGGCATGACTTTGGAGGAGCAGTATGCAGCAGATGGCTCTCCAGGCAGGGCAGACCTCAGTGTGGCCAGTATTCCCACGTTTGTGCCAGGTGCAGCTGTGGTGTCTGCCAGGTAGCAAGTACTGTGCTAATCTGTGACTATTTAGTGACCCAAGACCAGGTAGGGTGGGTATTTGTAGCCTATCAGCTGAGGCCATGCTTTTTTCTGTAGGCGTTTGATTTGTTTAGGGCTTGGGGAGCAATAAGATGCATGAATGGGCAGCAGGCAGGCATGGGAGTCAGAAGACCACCAACTGCAGCGTAAGGCCTTTTGGAGTGGGCTGCTATGAAGGTGTTGGACTTCAGTGGGTAGAATTGCTTGAAAGCATGTAAGCGTTTAATTTCAGTAGTGGTTATTTATGTATCTACTGCAACTAGTAAATTTTACTTCAGACTGCTGTTACTTGCAATTAGTATGGATTATCTAATCAGTCATTTTCCCTATGTTGTTTATGTAAGGCATGTTTAACTCAGGTATCAGTCGTACACCTCAGCGAAATTCAAGCGCGTCATGGTATTCCATCAACCCGTCGCAATCCCAATGTGGCTCGTGCGTCAGCCCATCGCGCATCGCGGTTCGACGCGGACGCGATTGATTGCAGTCCCGTCTGATGTGACACTCACACTGGCTGTTCGACGGGCTGTCACCTTGTCGGGTTGTCTCCCTGTCGGGCAGGCCGGGCGCAACTACCACTGCAATCGACTTGCAGCAGCGCCCACTCGCAAGTATAAAGGCGCGAATCTGCAGGCACCATGACAAGCTAAGACAAGCACTGCTCACTGAACAAGCTTCAGTTCTCTGACATCTTCCCTCCGCTATTTCCTGCCAGTAGACTCTCACCTGTCGCTATGGCAAACCGTCTGCCAATGAGGTCGTTGGTCCCTCTGTCTCTGCTGCTGCTCGTTGCGTCGGCGGCCATGCAGCGAGCAGCAGCACAGCCTCCGTTGGACTACCGTGACGCGCTCGCGAAGAGCATTCTCTTCTTCGAGGGGCAACGGTCGGGGCGACTGGATCCGCGCACCAACCGCGTGCCATGGCGCGGCAACTCGGGCCTGCAGGACGGCGCACGCAACAATGTGAGCTCTCTTTCATTCCATTCCTCTGCCTTGCACACGACCCGTTGCCCCGCTGTCCACACACCCTGTGGGATGCTTCTGACCACGTGGTTATACACAACATAGTGCGACATGCAATAATGCGCCATGTGCTGATCCCCTCTCCTCCGCACCCCCTCGCATGGCGCGCAGGTGGACCTGGTGGGCGGGTACTATGACGCGGGCGACAATGTGAAGTTCGGTTTCCCCATGGCGTTCACGGTGACGGTGCTGTCATGGGCCGTGGTGGAGTACGGTGCACAGCTGCAGGCGGCGGGGCAGCTGGGGTACGCGCTGGACGCCATACGGTGGGGCACGGACTACTTCCTCAAGGCCAACACCGGGCCCACGGAACTGTGGGGACAGGTGCGCGCTCGCGGTAACAGGAAGTGGGTTGTGGAGTGGGTAACTGTTGAGTGTTGCTCTCACGCTTGTATGTGGGTGAGAAGTTGGTTGATGCTGGCAGTACCAGTGGTAGTAGCTCTGCTCCTTCTGTGCTGTTCCACGTGACAAACACAGGTCGTCTGTGACCCTGAAGGCCTCATTCCTCTCTGCGAATTCATGTGGCCCATGGCAGGTAGGCGACCCGAACTCGGACCATGCGTGCTGGCAGCGGCCTGAGGACATGACGACGGACCGCACGGCGTACAAGATCGATGCTCAGCACCCCGGCTCTGACCTCGCCGGCGAGACTGCTGCCGCTCTTGCTGCCGCGTCCATCGCCTTCAGGGGTCGAAACAGCTCCTATGCCAACACACTCCAGTCACGCGCCCGCCAGGTAATCGGGCACACGTCCAATGCGCACATGCATTGGGTCTGCAATTATTGCTGCGGTCGGACCTACCATATGGCCAGTGTGCAGAACTGGAGCATGTTCTTACCTTCCTGGTTTCTCTCTCTCCCTGTCGTGTATGTGGTGCTATGGTTCAGCTATTCGTGTTTGCGGACGAGTACCGTGGCGTGTACAGTGACGCCATCCCAAGTGCGCAGAACTTCTACCGCTCCTTCAGCGGATACCAGGTAACCGCACCATAACAATACCTTCTCCCACCTCTTCAGACTGGATGTATCATGCATTGGAGAGTCGCTACAATTAACAACAGCCCCGCTGCGCGCACCAGTGCAAATCCCACATATTTCTCGACCCCTGCATGCCTCGCTCCCTGGTAGGACGAGCTGCTGTGGGCGGCAGCGTGGCTGTACCGGGCAACGGGTGATGAGGCGTACCTGCAGTACATACAGCGCAACGACGCGCAGCTGGGCGGCAGCACACAGCAGCTGAGCGAGTTCAGCTGGGACAACAAGTACGCGGGGGCGCAGCTGCTGCTCACCGAGGTCAGCCACCACTGCACTCACGCCCCCCTCGCTCTCCACATAATTCGCCACAACGCCATGCATTTCCGGCTCCTGCGCTGCTTTTTTTCATTTTGATAATGCTTGAGCTGACTGAATTCCTCCCTTGATCCCCGCCCTCTGTCTCTCTGTCTGTTGTTGTCCCAGCTGCTGCTGACTGGCCGCATCCCCTCAAGCTCGTCAGACCTGTTCAACCGCTACCGCCGCAATGCTGAGTTCTACGTCTGCAGCAACATGCCCGACAACCCACTCTCCCGCACTCCCCGCACCCCAGGTAAAAGCAGCAATCAGATTCACGCTCCTGAGGGCCACGCTTACATGGCTGCTTCAACTTGTTCCCCTCCATCAATCCATCTAACACTCTCAGCAACAAACCTCAGCAATCTTCCCATCTATTTACCGACCTTCCTCCCTTCTACGCCCCTCCTCCCACCGGAAACCTCGTCACGGCAGGGGGGCATCTGTACATCCCGGGGCGCGGGGTGAACAACCAGTACGTGACCAACATGGCGTTCCTCACCACCGTGCTCGCTGACACACTGCAGCGCGCGGGGCAGAACCTGCAGTGCGCCTCCACCACCTTCACCCCGCAGCAGCTCCTCGCTGAGGCCAGGCGCCAGGTGGGTTGCTGCGTGGGTGTGTGGGCGCGTGGGGTCAAAGCACATGACGCAGTGAGAGGCCAAGGACAACTTCGAGGTTCTTCACCCGTTTGCATCCAGTTCTTTGCTCACCCTTCACTCCAAACTCACAAGCCCAGGTTCATAAGAGCAATCTCCTCCCGTCCCACACACCCACCATGTGTGCCTTGTGCCCCGTGATTCCTGACCCCCCAGGTGGACTACATCCTGGGGAGCAACCCCCAGGGCCTGTCGTACATGGTGGGCTTCTCCTCCTCCTTCCCCCAGCGCATCCACCACCGCGGCGCCTCCATCCCCTCCATCTTCGCCGCCCCGCAGCAGATCGGGTGCTCCGAGGGCTTCCGCTACCTCACCGCCTCCTCCCCCAACCCCAACGTGCACGTCGGCGCCATTGTCGGCGGGCCCAGAGACGGGGTGAGTGCAGTGCAACAGGCTTGGCATAAAGGTGGTCTTGCTCCCTCTCTACGGGCTCTCACTTGTCTGCTGTGTGGTGGTGTGGTTGGTGTGTGTGTGTGTGTGTGTGTGTGTGTGTGACCTGTTGGCAGAGTGATGCATATGCGGATGACCGCACTGACTACAGCACGGCAGAGCCCGCCACATACATCAACCCTGGCATGGTTGGTGCTCTCGCTCGCATCGTTGGGGGCGGCTCTTCATCAGGGCAGCCTCCTTCCACCACGCCTCCTCCTCGTTCCTCCTCCCCTCCTCCTCCTCGTTCCTCCTCCCCTCCCCCTCCTCGTTCTTCTTCCCCTCCTCCTGGTTCCTCTTCTCCTCCGTCCTCTCCCCCACCTCCTCGTTCCTCTCCCTCCCCTCCTTCAACCACCCCTTCACCACCATCACCGTCACCACCGGTCACGCCCAGTCCTCCCTCTGCAGGTGATGTGCTTTACCTCAAACTAAAGCTCAAATACCATCGTACCTTTCTTCATCTAAGCACTGTGCTCATGTTTATCTAACGTGAAAGTTGTGTTTGTCGTGATTGTAACCTATCCCACCACCACTCATCCCACAGCCATCATTGCCACTTGTGTCGTGGAGAACGCATGGAAGGACAACGGTGTTCCCAAGGAGCTCTGGCAGTGTACCATTCGCAACGCACAGTCCAGGACTGTGAAAAACATCGCCCTCCGCTGCTCCAGCTACGAGCCTATCACTTCCTGGAACCTTGATAGCAACTGTCGCTTGCCAGACTGGGCTGCCAATCTGTCGCCTGGTGGAATTGCTACGTTTGGCTTCATCCAGCGTGCTGGCTTGGCTCCTCGTATCGACGTTGTTGGCTATGCATCTGCATAGTGATGTAGCACACTTGGTGACCCATGAATAGCTCTTGATGGACATTGTTCATGTATGAGATCATGCATTTCATCACAAATATTTGTGACAGAAAATATCTGTAACGACAGAAATGCAACCTGGTTTGCCAGAGTTTCGCAACAGCGAAGCGGGAATCACATCGAATTCGAAGCCCCACACTTGGCAATTGTTTGATTTTCCAGAGAAGGCGTCACCTCGACGCACGTTCTCGATTAAATTTAGTCCTTGTTCCATGCTGCGCGCATGCCATGGCGGAGTACGAGTGTCCCTTCGAAATGTTATCTCAAATGTTCGAAGGTATCTCGCGCGTTAAACGCGGTAAAGGCGGCGCCAACCGTAAGGCGCAGCTCGTGCAGAACTTTTTCGACATATGCTATGTGCATGCAGCCCGCAAGCACGCGGAGCGCCTCGCCCCGGGCTCCCAGGGAGATCTTAACGGTTCCGTTGGCGCTCGCGATAACGGCGGGGGGGAAGGGGTCGGAGCTGGGGAAACGGCGGGCGGGGGGGTGGGGGACAGCCTGTTCGCAGCGCTGCGGCTGATGACTCCGAGCCTGGACCGCGAGCGCGGCTCGTACGGCGTGCGCGAGGCGGCGCTGGGTCGCTGCGTGGCGGAGGCCATTGGGCTTGCGCGTGGCTCGGAAGAGGCGCAGCTGCTGGAGGACTGGCAGAAGGGCGGGCGGGGCCACGTGGGCGAGAACGCTGGCAAATTCGTGGAAGTTGCGATGGAGGTAAGCGCGCGGAGCAGACAGTCGCGAGTGGGAGGTAAGTGAGTCTGGGATGCAGAAGCTGCGGGCGGTGGTCACGGTGCTCAGGTATTGCTGCCCTCTGCGCTGGTGTGCACATTGTTGCTTCAGAGGTCACGCTTAGGGCTCTCAACACTGGGCTCGCCTGATCCATCTATCTCCTGCCTCCGCCGCACTCTCTCCTTTCCCCTCCCTTCCACTCCACCCACCTCCCCGTGCACGTGCGTTGCGCGGGTGTGCAGGTGCTGAAGAAGCGGCAGCAGGAATTGCCAGGCGACCTGACGATAGCGGATGTGAACGCATTGCTGGACGACCTCGCTGCTGCCGGCCCCAGGTCATGCCGCCCCCTCGCCCCGCCCTCTTAGCCTCCGCGCCCACGCCTCGCCATCCCCTTCCACTGCCCACCTCCAACCCCCCTTCCCCCCTTTCCCCCTTCCGCTTTCTTTCTGGCGCTTTCCCCCCCTTCCCCGTAGCCAATACCTACTGCTTGCGCTCCCGGTTTCGGTTTCCCTCTCCCCTTACTTGTTGCTCTCGCCTCCTCCCTGCCCTCGTTGCCACCTGCAACTGTGTCACTCTAACAATGTATGTGTGTTGGGGAGAGTGTGTGTGTGTGCACGCGCGTGTGTGTGTGGGGGGAAGGAATGGGGGGCTGGAGTGGTGCGTGCATGCATGCGTGGGTGGGCGGGGAAGGGGGGGCATGTGAGTGTGAGTGTGTGTGTTGAGTGCGGGGAGCAGGGAGGCGAAGGTGGCAGTGGTGGACCGCATGAGGAACGCCACCAACCCCACGCAGCTCAAGTGGATCCTCCTCATCATCCTGCAAGGTGCTCCTGCCATGCACGCCCACCCACCCACCCACCCACCCATCACTGTTCTCACACGTACTTCCGTGCAAACATGCTTGGAGCCTCCTTCCCACTCCTGCATGACCCACCCCACTCTCGTGCTCCCCAACTCCCCCACCACCACCTGTGCGCATCACCCAACGCCTCACTAACCCCCTCCCTCCCATCCTCAATCCCTCGCCCTCCCCGTCCCCCGGCGCACTCTCGGCATGCACCGCCGGCACGGGCGTCGGCACGGCAGGGCTGCACTTCGGCATGAGTGACAAGTCGGTGCTGCGCGCATTCCACCCCGACGCCGAGGAGGTCTTCAACCACACCTGCGACCTGCGCCGCCTCTGCCACTCCCTGCCCTCCCGCGCCGTCCGCGCCAAGCGCCAGGTGGGGGGTGGGGGGAGATGGGGAGGAGGCAGGAGAGAGGACGAGGAGTTGGGTGTGAGCATACGAGGTTTGGCTTGGGAAGTGGGGGAAAGACAAGGAAAACCGGATTGGGATGAACGGCGGTGGCTGGGAAGGGGTTGTGGGTGTTTCGGAAGGGGATGGACAATTGTCGATGGAAAGAGGAACAGTGGTTGCGTGTATGGCGGTGCGTTCTTTGTGCACATCTGCTGTCATCTGGACATTGCGTTTCTTGGCATGGCATGCCATGCCATGGTGTGGCATGATGATATGACATGTGATGGGATGGCATGGCATGTGGGGTGATCAGGACATAGAGCCAGGGAGTGCAGTGCGGCCACAGCTGGCCCGGCGAGTGGACACGGCAGAAGCTGCCTGGAGCCTGGTGCGCCCTCCCACCCCCCTCCACCCACCCTGCCTCTTGCTCCTGGTGTTCCCCTGCATTGTTCATGGGACCATCTCACAACCACGATTCACCTAGCGCCCTTATTTTTGCTTCTTTTCCGCATTGGTCCGCTGCCCTCGTACCTCCTGTGCCCTGCTGCACTGCTCACACTCTCATACGCCTGCATGGCATGGCATGCCATGGCATGTTGTGTGCCTGCATGGCTCGAGAGGAGGCAAGCACAGCCCGGGCTGATGGGTTGTCTTCGCTGATGGTGCACGCATGCTCGCACAACTTCATGGATCGATGGGTGCATGCATGGTTGCATGAATACATGGGCGCATGAACACATGGGTGTATGAATGCATGGGCGCATGAATGCATGGGCGCATGAATGCATGGGCGCATGAATGCATGGGCGCATGAATGCATGGGCGCATGAATGCATGGGCGCATGAATGCATGGGCGCATGAATGCATGGGCGCATGAACTCATGCATGCATGGGTGCGAGCAGATGAAGGGAAAGGAGGCGGTGGTGGAGTGCAAGTTTGATGGCGACCGTGTGCAGATCCATAAGAATGGCGCCACCATTAATTTCTTCTCCAGGTCTGTGCATGTGCATGTGCATGTGGTCCGTGAGCATGCATGCAGGCATGCGTGTGTGTTCGTCCACGTGTCACTGTTTGTGCACATGTATTGTGGTGCATGTGGATGCATGCACATGCCGTGCATGACATGAGGGGAACACCTCTGTCAAGCAGTTGAAGTCTCACTGAGCACATTGCCCTGCACGCATGCGTGAACGCCTCATATTGTGCCTTGCGCCTCCATTGTGGCACTGCATGGCCATGGCGTGGCATGGCATGGAATGCCGTACTGTGGTGTGGCTTGGTGTGGCATGGCATGGCATGGTATGGCATGGCATGGCATGGCATGGTATGGCATGGCATGGCATGGCATGGAATGGCATGGTGGCAGGAACTTCAAGGAGCATCCGGAGTTTCTCCCTGGCATGGAGGATCTGGTCGTCAACAACATTCACGCAGACAAGTCAGCCCTGCACCTATGCCCTCATCCGCCCATGCTCCCATCGTCCTGTGTTCCCCGCTCCACTGTTTTCACTTTATTGTGTACTGTGCCTATCGCGGCCTCTCTCTCTTTTTCCCACTACAGCTGTGCCTTTTGCCCTCTGTGCTGCGTTATGGCTCGCGTGGCATGGCATGGCATGGCACAACAGGTGTATACTGGATGGGGAGATGCTGGCATGGGATCGAAAGAACAACAGATTCGTGGAGTTCGGATCCAATCAAACAGCAGGTGCACCCTCCCTGCCCACCCACTGCCTCCTTGCATGTCTGCTGCATGCTACTGCATCGCCTCACGCACTGCACTGCCCATCACCACACTGTTGCGCCTACACTCACCCATTCTCTGCCTGCCCTCTTTCCCCTTGCGCCCTCTTCCTCTCTACTCGCTATCCTCCACTGCACCTCTGTGCGCGGCCCCATGTGTGCAGCAAAGGAGGCACGAGAGGGCAGCAACAGTGACATCCAGGTGCCACAGTCACAAGCCTCATTCACATGCAAGGCCTTCATGGCTGAGTTGCCTGTGTATGCATGTGACCCTTTGTTCCTCGTCACTCTCCTGTTCCCCCCGTACGCCCTACTGGCCCACACATCGTCCCTTGTGCTTCCTTCCTTTTGCTACCTCACACGCTGCTCTTTTACTTAACTGAAGTGTGTATTTATCTCCCCTTCTCTTTCTCCCTCTGCTCATGCGTGTCATGCTCCTTTGCCGTGTACTCTCTGTCATCGTCTGTGGCTCTGCCAACCCCATGCATCGCAGCTATGCTGTGAGTGCCACTGCACGTCTCATGCAATGCATCTTCGTGCGTGCACATGTTGCTTCAATCAGCATCTTCCGCATTGTTCTTCATGCATATGTCCTTGCATCTCCTTGCGCTTCCACAACCTTCATCGCAATCCACATACATCACCCCCACATAGACTCTCACACCTTTCCTGGTTCTTCCCATTCTATCTCTACTCCTGATTTTTCCCTGCTCCTCCTGACTCCTCTCCCCTCCCCTCCTCTCCCTTCGTCATTTTTCCTCCCATCTCCCTCCCTGCCACCCCTCTCCCTCTGGCAGACGTGGCGTTTGACATTCTCTACCACAGGGACGGCAGTGTGATCCACTATCCGCTCAAGCGCCGCCACCAGCTGCTCAAGGAGGTCGTGCGCCCCAAGCCACACCGCTTCGAGCTGCTGCTGCCGCCTGACCCCCGCTCCTCCAACATCTCCCCACGCGCTCCTGGTGCCCCCTCGTCCTCCCTTCGTGTGCTCGACCCCTCCTTTGTCCCTTTGCTATCCCACATATTAGACCCTTCTGTCCTCCTTGCTCTCTCCTGTTCCTCGCCCTTCCCTTTTTCCCCACTCTCGCATCTGCCGGTCTTCGCTAACCCTGTAACCGTCCTTCTCTGCTTGCGCATCCTCCTCTCACCTGTCTGACTTGTATCGTTCCTCTGATTCTGTTCTGCTGCCCCTTTTCTCCCCATGTGCCTCCCCTCGCGGCCATCATGGGAGGGAGCACAGGCGAGCCCAACTGGTCGCAGTATGCACACAGTGCAGCGGACATCCAAGCCTTCTTCGTGCAGACCGTCGACAACAGGCACGCCTCGCTTCAACCCCTCCCCACTCCTCCCCTTCTGCCTTGCATGTCACTACCTACATCACCACTCGCATCATTGCATGCCACTGCTGCACACACCAGCTAATTCTTACCCCTTCCATTCACGCTGCTCCTTATCCCTTCCCTTCCTCCCTGCCTCACTCCGCTCCCTCCCGTTCCCTCCCTCCCTCGGTGCGGCAACACCCCTGGCATGAGGCGGGCAGGGACGAGGGAGTGGTGGTGAAGGACCTGCAGTCGCCGTGGGAGGCGGGCGACCGCTCCTCCAAGTGGCTCAAGCTCAAGCCCGACTACATGGATACCGGCGCTGACATCGACGCCCTCGTCATGGGTACTGCTCCGCACATGCACACATACATGCCCATGCTCATGCCCATGCTCATGCCCATGCCCAGTGTCACTGCACAGGCCCTATTGCTATCTGATCACAGAGTCTGTGCGATGGTGTGCCATGGTGCTTCCATGTGATTCCTGCCATTCGCCCTCCACATCCTCCCATTGACATGCCCCTCGTTTCTCACTCACTCACTCATTCAACCCATCTCCCTCTTCTTCTGGTGTTGTGTGTGTGTGTCGCTCTCCCCCTCTCCTCCTGTCCCACCTAGGCGCCTATTTTGGATCCAACCGCCGCGGAGGAGAGGTGAGCTCCACTGCTTCGCTACACCTTACCATGCCATGTAATGCCCTGCCATCCCTTCCATGCCATGCCATAGCTGCAGCAACATCCAGCGCCGCATGGCCGCTCCGCTTTTTTTGTGATACGTTTCGTACCCCATATTCCCATGCTGCGTCGCACTATCTGCTCCTGTCATGCATCACACCTCCCACCATCACCTCTCGCCCTCCTGTCCCCCCACAGCTATCTCAGTTCCTGCTCGGCCTATGGGAGCAACCCCCCGACCCCGACCAGCCTCCTCCACGGTACGTGCCACGTGCACACGACGGCACGCCTGCTCCTTACTGCGCCCTCTTTCACTCACTTCCACAATGATCTTCTCCCATGTCACACTTGTTCCTCTCTTCTTGCCTCTCACTGCTCCCCGCATCTCTCCCCTTGTCGCCCGTGCTCCCATGGTGCAGCCTAATGTCATTCTGTCGGGTGGGGGGAGGCATGTCAGACGACGACCTGGCGGACCTGAGGGAGCGCCTGCTGCCCGTGCTGCAGTGCGTGCCTCGCCTCTCGCCTTCCACTCTGCTGCTCTCCTCTCACACCCTCCCTGCACTACATCACACACAAACACGAACACTCGCGTTCTGCTGGACCGTCATGTTCACACCCATTCGTGTCTCAGTTCGTTCTTCTCGCCACCCACTTCCCCCACCACCATGCAAACCCGGACCGCTGTTCCTTCCCCTCTGTGTCTCCCCTGGTCCTACAAGCCAGGCTGAACGAGAGAGGTCAGTCCCCCCCGCCGCTGTACGCTGTGACCAACCATGCCAAGGAGCGCCCAGACGTCTGGGTCTCTGACCCCACCAGGTGCGGGATCTTGTGGGGTTTGGCATGGTTATGAACGGTGCTCGACAATCTACCAGATTATTGTGTGTGATCAGCAGCATGGCGGCATAGCATGCCATGGATGAGATTCTGCATCCCTCCCTCTGCCTCGCTCCTGTCTCTCCCCCCTGTCCTCCTTGCACGTGTGTGTGAGTCAGGTCTGTGGTGTTGCAGATTCGCGGTGACATCCGAGTCATACAGACCGAGGTAAGTTGAGATAGGTGCCGCACCACCTGCCACGTGCTCTTCACCTGCCACGTGCTCTTCACCTGCCACGTGCTCTTCACCTGCCACGTGCTCTTCACCTGCCACGTGCTCTTCACCTGCCACGTGCTCTTCACCTGCCACGTGCTCTTCACCTGCCACGTGCTCTTCACCTGCCACGTGCTCTTCACCTGCACTGCTCGTACTTCCTGCCCCTTTGTTCTCAAACTTACATCATCAGTTTCCTTGCAACCAGACCGGGTCCTTTGAGCCATTCATAGCAGGCATATCTTCCCATGTCCATCATGCCCCATCTCCTACTTTATTCCATTGTACATACCCGGATCTCTTCTTCTCCACATTCCCCTTCCTCCCCTCCTCCCGCCCCCACCTCCTCCCCCCTCGCAGGTGTTTCAAGCGCCGCGCTCGCTGCGCTTCCCCCGTGTCACCCGCGTTCGCCATGACAAGCCCTGGTGGGACTCGCTCGACCTGCCAGGTCAGCGGGGGCTGGGGGAGGAAGGGGGCGAGAGGGGAGGGGAGGGGGATGGTGCAGAGAGGGGGGGGAGGGCGAGAATCGAGGGATGTGTGGGAGGATGAGAGTTGAGTTAGCTTTGGAGTAGTGGGCACTGTCACAGAGAGCATGCACGCACGCTGGAGCTGCTTCTGAGAATACTCTCCAACAACTCCCACACAGCGGCTCACGGCTGCCTATTGCAGCATCTTGTCTTTTCCAACACGCCGCCATTTCCCTGCCGGCCTGCTTTCCTGTGCCCGTGTGTGCTTTGCGCACCCTCCAGAGTGGCAGCGCCTTGTGCAGGAGAGGGAGGAGCAGCGCAGCCGCGCACTCAAGGACAGAGAGGCTGCCAAAGGCACGGGGGGGAAGGGGCGGGGGCGAGGGAAGGGCAAGGGCAAGGGGGCGAGGAGGAAGAGGGCGGTGGAGGTACCGGCGTTCATGAGGCCCGTGGGAGGGGCTGCAGAGCAGGCCGTGGGGGGCTCGGCCGAGCCCTTTTTTACCGGTTGTAAATTCTGTGAGTGAGACTGCGCGCCTCCCTCCCGTGCCTCTCTGTGCCTTCACCTGCGCAGAGCCCCCAGTCCTGCTTCAATGCACGCTGCCTCGCCATCCCCCCCGTACTGCCTCTAGTGACATCTCCGGCCTCCCTCGCAAGTCCTTTGTCTCCCATGCTCCACACGTCCACTCATGATTGCTTGCCAAGTCGTTGCCCTGCGTTGTCCCTCCCTCTCTTCTGCGTCCCTCGGCTTCCCATGCAACCATTGGGGAGCAGACGTGGTATCAGTCCCCCCGGGCGTGCAGCAGAAAGTGGTGCAGCAGCAGGTGGTGAGGCACGGGGGAGAGGTGCACGCCAATCTCAGCCGCGCTGTCACCCACGTAGTCGCAGGCTCCGCAACGGGGGGTGAGTGACGCACCAAGTGCGTGAGGTGGTGCACGGGCAGTTGGCGGGAGGGGGTAGAGGCACGCTGCTGCGCATGTGAGGTGATTGACATGTGTGAGCACGTCAACCGCACGGCACACAGCACGTAGACCCCTGGAAACAAGGCTCCAAAGATCACATATTTCTCATGCATGGGTGCTTGCGTGCTTGCGTATTGTGCAGTGTGTGTGCACACACAGCACGTCACTCACGTGCTGCTGCACCGCTACCTACTCTTATCCGTGCCGTGCCATGGCATGCATGTCCCCCCAGGGTTTCGTCTCAAGGCGGCTGTAAATGCAGGAGATGTGCTCACATACGATTGGCTACAGGAGTGCCTGCAAGCCCGCAAGCTCATTCCACCCAAGTCCAAGTGAGCTCCTTCTCCCTCACATTTCCTGCTGCACCCATCTCTACTGCGCCCACCTGTTTGTCTGCCTGCCATCCACACATCCCTCTCCTCAATCCAGCCACATACCATTGCGCGCGATCCCGCCTCTCCTCCCGCCGACCTGTATGCGCCCGTTCCTTGGTGCCACGGCTCTCCTCGCCCCCACCAGGCACTACGTGCACCGGTCTCCAAGCACGGTGCAGCGGCAGCAGCAGCAGATGGACGAGTATGGGGACTCGTACACAGATGACATCGCTGACGCGCAGGAGCTCAAACAGGTCTCGTCTCATTGCTTGCCGTCTGCTCATTCCCCCCTAGCCACCTCTCAGTTGCTGCAGAGCTTGCGCAGTGCAACTACACCCTAGCAATTGCATTCTTGCACCCACGGTGTGTATGCTGTTCTGCTGTGTGCTGCTTCGCTGCCTCTGCGGATATGTGCTGTCACAGCTAGCTTCTCTCTGCTTCCGAGGTGCCCAGGATGTGGCGTTGCTGTACTGCCTACATTCCCATCTACTCTCACCGCACCACCACAACTCGTCTCTCTGTGTCGCTATGCAGCTCTTTGCAAAGGTGTCTGAGGCAGCAGTCAAAGCAGTACCGAGTGGTGACGTGGCGGTGCAGCGCCGCAAGCTGTGTGTGGAGTCGGGTGCCGTGCACACTTGCATCTTTCAAGGGGTCGTGCTCTTTGTGCTGCCGTGCCTTCCCGCCCTACACCAGCAGCACTCATGGTAACACGCCCACTGCTTGCAGTGCCGCGCCCCAAGATCGCTTCTCATCTTTCCCCCTGGCCTCATCGCCTTGCACTCGTTCCCTTGTCCTCATGCCCGTCCTAAGCTCTCATTTTAAAGAAATCACACCAGGACACTTGCTCCTGTCATCTTTCCTCTGTCCTCACATCATCTCCATGTCTCCATGCATCCAACCCATGCATCTCTCACCTCCCCAATCGCTGTGTGTGTGTGTGTGGGCAGGGCGGGGTGGCAGCATGTGAGCGAGGCGATGGCAGGGCGCAGAGCAGCACTGGAGGTAGCAATGGGGGGAGGCACTGTGGACGCAAGGCTCTCAACGCATGTCACGCACCTGCTGCTGCCGTCATGCCTCGCTTCCATTCGACACGAGGATGTGGGAGCTACTGTGAAGCTGTATCAAGACAGGTAAGAAGTTGCTGTCCCTGTCTGTTGCGCCACCGCCCGTGTCCCTTCCCTGGTCTTAAGCAAGGCACAAACCGGTCACTCCTGGCGTCCATTCCCCTCATCTCCCCCAACTCTATACACCCACTCTCTCCCCCCTCTCTTCCCCCCACTTCCCCTGCGCTCCCAGCCTCACACCAGCGCAGCTCGCTCTTCTCTCTCGTGTCCTGTCAGTGCATGCGCCAGCCACGCCTGCACCGCCACCAGCACCAACACAAGGAGAAACAGCAGCAGCAGCAGCAGCATCGCCACACCCCCGTGCCTCTACCCAGCAGCATCCGGCACATGTTCCACGGGTGGTCACGGTTGCGTGTGTGGAGAAGCGGGTACAGGGGCAGGGGGAGGAGGGGCCGTGGGAGGGCTTTGGAGGGCCCAGGTGAGGCCTTGACGATCCCCTACTGGCAATGCGGCTTTCTGTTCCCCCTTCTTTCCGTCACCACTGCTTCCTTTCAACCCCCCGCCCATTCTCCCCTTCCCCCGCCTCCGTTTCTCTTTCTCCCACACACATGTGCAATCGTACTTTCCCTCTTCCCCATCCCAGCCTTTCTCAAGGATCTTTTTTTTCTATCCTCTTCTACTCCACCGATATTCTGCAGCTGTCCTGCTTTCCTGGAATCTTCTGACAGTGATGAGGGGGAGACTGGGAAGGACGAGGATGGGGGGAGCAGCACTGACTCAGATGGTGCTGGTGATGCCGGTGCCGGTGCTCATGCTGATGCTGATGCTGATGCTGATGCTGATGATAGTGATGGTGGTGAAGAGGAGGAAGATGAGGACGAACAAACCACGGATGATGAGGGGGGTGGGTCCGAGGCAGGAGGGGTGCAGGAGTCGAGGTTGGAGGGGGTGGATGCAGCAACACAGCAGTGGGAGGACGACATGAGTGTGTGTGAGAAGAAAATTGTCCCCGCAGAGGATGATGTAACTGGGGTGAGTGGATCGCAGTCTCTTGTACCTGCGACACCAGCCAAAAGCTTGAGTCAACCAGGAACAGTTCCAGGCGCAAGTGGGGTGGGTGAGACATGTGCAAGTGAGTGCAAGGAGCAAGAGCAGCATGCGAGCAAGAGATTTCGGGGGGAGGGAAGGCATCGTGATGTGGAGTTGGTTGGAGTGCCAGGAGACACAGGTCAGGGCAGCAGGGATGTGGGAGATGATTGGAAGGAGGGAAGCCTAGGGAAGATAGGGAAGGAAGTGATGGACATGAAGAGTGCAAAGGAGGAGAGTGAGGAAGCAGGGAACAGAGGTGCTGTTGGGGATGGTCCAGAAAAGGTTAAGGAGCAGAGAACTGGGGAAATTGATTCAGAGAGGGTTGATGTAGACGACAAGACGAATGAGATGTTTGACTTCTTTTTCGGTTAAAGCTTTGTGTATATCTGGTGTTCTGGAACACGAGACGCTTATTCCTCAACGCTGTCTCCGCCAACACAATTGGCCGCTTGATTAGCTAGAGTAATGTTGACTCTCTTTATCATTATCTGAATTTATGACATTTTCACCGCTTGATTAAGGATTATTCACAGGGACGCGTAACACCATCACAGAATGTATAGCACAACATACCGTACTACATACTACCATTCTGAACCACTACAAGTGGAGGGTGAGGTCCAGGCTAGAAACGTCCTTCTCCCTGTATTCCACCTTGCGGCCCCGCGCTTCCGTTTTTGATGCGAAACCCCCAAGGCTTTGGAATAGGTCGTCATGGCCTGAAGACGATTTTTGCTGGGAAACGCGATTCTTGGCAGAGCAGGACGAGTCGTCATGCTGGTTGGATGGTGAAGCCCTAAGGGATTCGACAGGAGCGGCCGCGACTCTCGAACCGCTCGCAGAGAAGCGCGAGCGTCGGCGGCATGGGACGGAGAAGTACGAGCAATTCCACGAGCAACAGGCCTTGGGCAAGACAAATGGTTCAGATGCTTCCACGCGGTTACAGGCACTCTCAGCAACGGATTTGCGACTGCATGACGGGCTCTCAAGCGGTTGAGAGTGGGACGACGCGGCGGAACTCGACGCAGGCACAGGCTGCTCGGCGGAGGGCGTTCCGCGAGGCGACGATGCTTGTCTGGAATTGTCGCAAGCGCGCTTCGCCGCGCGAGGGCCAAAAAGAGCCCCACCACTGCCAGAGACGCTGCTGCTGTCAGTGCTTATGCAGTCTATGATGGCACGTTTGATGCCGGCCCTTCCTTTCATGGTCGTCGGATGCTGTAGGGTCGTTTGAGCATTTTGATGGAACGGGAGTTGCGGCTGAAGTAGAGCAAGCATGGCTCTTTGCACAGCGAAACATTCGGAGAGCTGATTCTGAGTCGGCCGAGAAAGACGTCGGGGAGAAGCGGAGCTGGCTAGCAGGAAACATTCTGGACTTCGATTAGAGGTTAGGCAGTAGAGGTTACTTGGAGGAAAGCAAAGTTGATGATTCGGGAAATGGGCATGGAGGCTAAAAATACTGCTCCGTTGATCTATGGTGGAGAGTCTGATGTACAGTAACTGCTAGCAGATGACAGTGGGAGGGAGGCAAGCCGCTGGAGGTCAGAGACTCGAGCCGAGCGAGAATACAAGCAAACGCAATCGAATCATCACCAGCTGGCTCCGATCCGAAGTTCCAGAGAACCAAATCATAGGTTGGATGGATGCACCGAAATGTTGCGCATGCATAAGATCGTGATGGGATTCGTTTCCGAAGTTTTGATCGTTAAAGGGTTGCCGACCTTCACCAGCAAACTGGGAAAGAACCCTTATAACTCGCACAAGTAACAACTGGTGGGAGAACTCCAAACCCAGCGGAAACTATATTGCTCAAGGAGAACGGCCGTGGGAGGGAGGGGAGGGGTGTCAGAAACTGGAGTTTGGGAGTTTGGAGGGTTGGAATTTGAGGGTGAAGTGTTTCCTGCATTATTTGACACACTATGTTACAGTCCTTCCTTGGTGGAGGACATCTTGATGACAGTACAGTGTTCTGTTTGGTCGATGCGAATCTTCGCTGAGGGAAAAGCATTGAGCCTGAGGTCAGTGCCAACCATCTCTTGTGACAAAAGGGTGTGGTTGTGGTCTGGTGCTTCCAGTTGGACTGCGGATTTGGAAGCAGCAACACCTTCTCGTCAGCATCGCCGCATCTGATTTGGGGTCCGTTGCACCAAGCACGCGGGGCGGCTAGTCTTGTCAACAAGGCTGGGATGAACAGATGATTTTAGGCAGACCGCGAGAGATTTAGAGAAAGTGTCGACTGAATACGAAAACAGAAAAGGTTACATAAACTCATCGCTCTGAGTGAGAAGATTCGCAGGATGGCACATTCCTTCGAACAACCCATGAAGGACGCAGTGAGCCAACAACCTGGCTAGCCCATTATTTTGACTTATGAAACTCACTCCAAAAAAAGTTGCGTGTTGTGTAACAAGATAACATAGTTGTTGGGTCGAAATGGGAAAGTGCGAAGCAAATTTCACCAATGTGACTGAGGCTGCTAAGTTCACTACACTGTGCAATGTATATTGTCACATACATTGTAAGTGTGGAGGAATACAAAACCGGACCGACGCTGCGATTTCCTCTGCCCTCAGCTCAGTATGGTTATATATGGAATAAGTCTCAGGGACCATTCTAAATTTCCAGGAATTTGGTAAATACTCTTATTTTGACTCTTTATAATAGATAATGATGAGTACATACAATGGAAAATCTGTTATGATATAGTATAACTTGATCGTATTTTTTTAAACTGGATCATGTATCCTAAAAATGCATAGATCAGATTGTATATGTAGATCAGATTGTATATATGTAAATGATGTAGTTTCAGAAACTCGTTTTGCCTCGAATATGTATTACTTTCGTGCTCCCTCTATAATCATACAATGTGATGATATTCTTTTCAACTTTGTATATACTATTGTTAACATGTTTAGATATTTATCAATGACAAATTCAATAAAAAACACGTCTACCATAACTATTCAACATTAAATTTTCCAATAAACATGTTATATTATTTAATCAACCAAAAAAACAGTTAACCATTTTCTAGTATAAATGCTTTCTCTTCCGAAGAGAAGATAAGAAAAACAAAAAAGCAATTCGGCACTCGACCATAGAAGCAAAACCTATTTTCCAAAATGATTATGTTAGAAATGATATAGTAGGGTTTTCTAATATAGAAGAAATGTATCATTACATGTCTCATTTAATCAAAAGTTGATTGTATAAAGCAAAAATAATATATTGAACCAACAATTTGTGAAGCATAAAATACTAAATAAAATGTTGACGATCTGTTATTTGGTTTATTTTATTCAATCCCTTTTATCCAAAGAACTATTTATAGCCAATTATGATAATACTTTCTAACTTTTGAACATAAAAAATTTTCAATTTTCCAAATAAATGCATTTATGGCATCTATATATAAACTGGACTAATGCCGAAATCACCTCAATTTATTCAGAAACTTTGATTGGTTCTTTAGTACGGTTTTATATCCCGTTATGCCATTATTTATCATCCAATAAAAGTTGTTGGTCCAAATTGTACGAGATCTAAAAGGCGGGTTGACGAAGAGGAAGTTCAGCTTTAGGGCTGTGTCGAGAGAATATATTTTGTCAAATTCATTATTTTCGTATCATACGGCCAAACCACGTACTCTCCCTAATAAGAGCTCGAAAGTACCAAATTGCAAGTGCACTTCTTTCAAGTTTAAAATGTTGTTACCTTCAAAAATTGAAAGTTTGACCTGCGCACCTCACAATTTTAAACTAGGGCTTTAACATCTATGCATCTAGAGCAAGCCTCGTATCAGATGGATAACCACTGTTTAAAAAAAAATATATATATATATATATATATATATATATTTGGAAGCTCAAACAATCTGTGACTCTTTCCATGAGATACGTATTAGTGTATCAGCTGTACAAGTTCATTAGGGCGGCTTGCTTCACGTGTTTCGGACATCGAATCCGATCATCAATGCTGAGTTGGATATTCAGGCATGCGAGATGTGATGTTACACACCAAATCCAACATGCACGAATTTGTTGCTCCGCAGCAGCAATCTTCGCCCAATCCTCTTTCGATACTGTACTGTACAGTGAACGACGACGGATCTCCCTCCGCGTTTTCTAGCGAACAAACTGTACAATATTCCCTTCCTCGGTAATGGCAATACAATTTCTCGTGTTCCACAAACAAAAAGTTTTTATATAAACAATTTGGAAACATTGTATGTGCATTCTCATTGGCCTTTCATTCCGGCCTAGCCACGTTGTCTGTTGTCTTCTATTCTACAAACATCCAGGAAATCATGGTGTAAAAAAAAAAACATGACAGGCATGCAAGCAAGCCCTACCTTGTCAACGTGGAAGATCCGGGGCCCTATCTCATTCGCATTGTGTAGGGGGGGTGGAAAGATGTTATGAATGAAAGTGTTGTGCTATTGATGAGGGTTGAGGTACATATAGCAAACCCTAACATTTGTACCCCCTAAGACAAACCTCACTACATGCTACACCATCTGACACACCCCCACAGCTTAAGTGAGGGGTGTCAAGCAAAACCAAAAGTGTACGGTCACAAGACCAGTCACAAAGAAACAAAGCTCAGGGTGGATCACAACGTCACCACACAATCTGAGCACAAGCAGCAGCGGCCACAAGGCCAGTCCAAGAGCTCACAAAGGTGTATGGCAAGAGTACAAGCAAAGCAAACGGTAAACTCAAGCCTACACACGACTAGAACATGTGTCAACATGACCTAACTGCACATAACACCTCTGGTGATCACAAGGCAGAAGCGCCTTGGTGAAGATGTCTGAAGTGTTGGCCTCGGACTCCACAATCTCGAAGCGAGCTTGTCCACGTCTCTGCAACTCACGCAGAAGAAAGTACGTGACGTTAATGTGCTTCACTCTGCACTCCAGTCGCGGCTCTCGACAGAGGAGAATCGACGCCTTGTTGTCAGTGAACAAGGTCGGTGCAGAGCTCGGCCGCTCACCAAGGTCGGCGAGCAAGAAGGTCTGTTACGATATGAAGTTTTATGAGAAGGCATTCCTGTATGCTGCAGGAGCCGACTCTACCGAGTACGAAGTCGAGGAGTCAGAAGAGTCGAAACGACGCAGCAACCGCCTGACCAAGACCGAAGCAGGCAGAAACATTTGAAGTGAAAAAGGCGGGAACGGGTTCAAAACGGGTTCCCGCGCCGCACGGTTTTGAATTTGCTGTAATAAGGGAATGTACCCCTTAGAGTACATGGCTAGTCTAGGTCTTTTCGTATTCCCCTGTACTCTTATATAAACCCGATGTATGCATGCTATTATCAACACAGTCATTTACATTCACTCTGACCGGAGATTCAAACTTCCGCTGCAACAC